CGGACGAAGTCGCGGGTACAGCTAGTTAAATATAAGTAAATCAATATTTATTTAAAAGAGCAACACACAAGTTTCTTGCTCATTCTTCTTGTGATGAGTCTGCATTCCGAATGAGCGTTAGAATCATAAACTTGACTATTCAAAAGTGCTTATATTAAGTTTATTTGAATAAAGATTATTTCTATTTCTATTGAATCTGTATACTGAACTGGAGGGTAGGAAAAGACATAATAATTACAAAGAACTTGACGCTCATAGGCGACTAAAATATTCTACAGGAATAAACGATTTTTGAATTTGAATTTAATTTTTAATTTCAAGCTATCTGCGTACAATACTTCGTAGACATATAAAAATTAATATATTCTACATGTATATTATCGCTCATCACTTAACCCAAAGAATTACCGCCCAATTTGTTGAATCAAATTTACAGTTTACGGTGGTTGAGACGAGGTCACGATGTATAAAGTTTTGTAATAGATTTGATTAATATATAGTTAAATGAGATTACGCGGGGACAATACCTACGTCAATAATTCTTGTAGAATAGAAAATTCTTTATTCAAATAAACCATAATTTAAACACCTTCGAAAAAAATTAAAAAAAAAAAGAAAGTTGTTAAAACATTTACTTTGTGCACATGATGCAATAGAAAAAATAAACAATTATGATGAAAATTAATAAATGCATAATAAATTGTTACATGCAACCAAAACATCACTTGTATCGGGCTTTTGTATTTATGAAACATAAACGCTGATTTTCAGTGGAACGAGTGGGATTCAAGATGTATTTAACTAACCACTAGTATAAAAAAATGAGATCTTTTTTATATATTCCATCATAACTCGAAAATTATGTGTTGAAGTTACATTTCAAGAAACCTACGGATTATAATATATTATATATATAGTCGGACTATTTAGTAAATTCGAATCTAGAATCTATTAAAAGTACATTAATATTTTATTTTTTTGTTATATAAAGTTCTCAAATTGCAACTTCTTTAATATAAATTATAATACAGTAAAGTACATTCTTAATTCCATGACGGCACCTTCCATCAATAGCGGGCAATGCAAATTTGCTTAACGCCACGCCCCATAATGTTACCCCAGCACGGTAGCTCACGGTACACACAGAAGACCTTGGAAACACTTATACACTCTTGCTTAGAAACAATTCTTTTTACACAGCCTTATAGTGAAGCACAACAATGAAACAATCACATCAATTCAACAGTGCACTTGTAATTATTTTTTTTAATTCATGATTTATGGAATAGTGTCCGTCTGCACTAATGGTTTACACTGGTAGGGCACTATTGGCGGATTATAGATGAGGTCAGTTGGCCTATCGTGACAAATTCACCAGGAATTAACCACTATTAGAGATGGAGTAATTAGCTCACATTGACTATCTACTATAAAAATTCTTATACAGAGATAAAAAAGTAGATACGTATATACCTATGTGTGAACAAATTTGACGTGGGTTCGTCTGTCATAATACTGTATTTCAGCTGCCAAGCAGTTTACTTTATAAGCTATTTATCGGTTGGATGGTGAGATATGGCAGTGATTACAGAGCATGGAGGTACCACAGTACTACGTTTGTATGCTATTCATGCATGCATATTACCATTTACCATCAGGTATATATATATATATATGATATATATGTACCATCTGTTCGATAATTTATTCCGTTAACGTAAAAGCTAAGACTTAAGGTTCCCATGAAAAGATCACTTTCAGCAATAAAACCACATTATGCGTAGTACGAATACCTTACACTTTTATATATATCACTAGTTGTGCCCGCGGTTTCACCTGCGGGAAATTTATAGCCTTATGTGTTATACTGATGTAAAGGCTAAAATATTTTAAAGTTTCATTAAAATTCATCCAGTAAATTTTGCGTGAAAGAGTAACATCCATCCATCCATCCACACTCATAAACTTCCGCGTTTATAATATTACTAAGATTTTGCAAATAAAAGATATTCTATCTACCTATCACTAATAACATAACTACCTAACTACACAAACAACACATTCCTGTATCATTCGAAACGGCCGCCATTAATTCATCGATTAAACCATTTGCCGACAGCTCTCACCTGCTACCCGCTAATGCACTGCAAGGCATTTAGGTACTATAAAAGCGGTAAATACAGCTCAACCTTTCCCTGGCTCCCGATGACAATAAACTTTTACTGCTAGTAAAAATAATGTTCGTCCGACTGAATCGATATACGAGTTGCTACCATCGAGCTACCTGCCCCCCTATTGGCGTATTGTAAACGTTTTCGAATATGAAAACTGTTTTCGCAATCAAATTGGGATTTTTGTGTATAATAATGGTATTGCACACCTGTTAACTACAGGCTAGGCTAACTATACGCTAGGCGCCATTGTAAAATGATTAACGAAAAAGAGTTAGTCAGCTAGCCCATAGTGGTGAATTCACCAGGAATTAACCACGGTGATTTGCAGGGGAGACCACGGGACCCAGTCTACCAGACATGGTACTTCCCTAAAATGATTCAGAGGATACTGAGTGGACGATCCACTAACCCTTACGATAACAACCCCTTCCTTCCCTTTAAGAGATTATTATTACCTACTTAATATGGTGAAGAATGACATGATAGGATTTCACCTCAAATCTGACGTAGTTATAATGTATTCTTGTCTATCTATATTAAAATCTAGTTGAATAATAAATCGGTAGGTTGATTTTGTTACAGACTAAATAGATTTTCTTACTGAAACTTCGTTTAGAGAGGCGCGGCGTTCCCTCGCTGACGACTGAATGTAACTCAATTTTATGTTATTATCGAGAAATGCAACTTCGTTGGCGCTTGTATAACTGTAGTATGCTATCGTATAAGTACATTACTGTCCTTTGTCCTCTAAAAACCTTTAATGCAATGAAAAAATAAAAGTGACACATTGTGATAGAAAACTATCCGTTCTTTCAAATGGGAGAGAACAATAGGTACTTATTCACATTCGAGTATTAGCGTGAGCGAATGATATTTCACTATAATTTTTTTTTAATGCAATAGATAATATAATTGCAGAAAAGCTAATGACCCACGAATGATGGAAAGCGCTAACCGTCGCCCATATATGTATGTACATAAACAGTACTACGGACATCACGATGTCATGTGACCCGTGATACCGCTCATGAGTTATCACTCCAGAATACTGTGATGCCGTGACTCTTATCCTGTAATTTCACGGCCTAATCGTACCCTACAACCAAAACACAGCTTACGAGACAAGCCAGGACTGAAATGGTGAGATTGAGGTACCCACGCAGACTTTTTTAAATCTACCTAACCTACCTATGACTGCCAAATGAAATGATATTCAAATTAGAGTCCAATAAAGAGCCATCACAGCTATTTCGCTGAGTCTGAATCAGAACTTAGACTCGAAAGATATATTTTTTTATAGATAGGTACTTGGAGAAAGTCTTCATGGAAAATTCGCCCGCCCCGGGACAGCGGGATCGCTGGATTTGCGGGATCGATTGAAAGTGCACCTCGATTCCGACGGCGGTGACCCCCACACTGTAGGGCCTTTATCTTTGATCGGGTTCAAAGTTACTAACCTACCTACCTACCTAGCCGTTGGCCGCTAGCTGTGGCCAACACCATCAGAGTCCGAAAAAAAACTTTACAAGTGAGTTTTTATTTCGGACTCCCCTGACGCTGTTGGCCGCAGCTGGCCTTTACAGCTTCGCCGGAAGATAGGCACAAATGGCACTCCAAACACGCGAAAGGATTTATGGAGCGGCTGAAAGCCTGACGGACAAGACTTTAGTCTGAGGGCACCGGTAGGGGTTCGAACCCAGACTCAGGAACTGGAACAGGAACTGAACTAGATATCCAGGGTATCGTTAAAAAAAAATGAGCGTTATGCAATTTAGTCGAGAAAAAGTAAGAACTAGTTACATAGACAGATACAGTTTTACACAAAAATAGTTAAATGATAATAAGTACACATATTGACTAATATCTAGAATTGGTTGACGAAATTAACTTTACCGCCCACGAAGCCACGGGTAAAACTATTTATTTATTTATATTTATTTTAACTATTGTGTAAAATCAAACGGCAGCGCATGTCAAATATTTAATTGCCTAAATGGCGGCTAAGTTAGAAATAAAGTTTGTGCGCTGGCCTAAAGTATGAACGATCAAATGTGTTAGCATCTGACTTCTTTGTTCAATTTCATTATAACATAGTGGCGCCATCTTTTCAGAAATTCCTCGAACATCCCATATCGAAAAAGGTATGAACATAAAACTAATGTGTTGTCAATTATTTCTTATCGTTTTTACAAAAACTAAAGATCGATTTTCTTGTTCCGTACATTATTGATCATAAGATCAAGCTATTTCAAGAGTTGATTATTTGTCCATAAACAATCAATATATAGTTTATTGTCATAAATGACGTCGTAGAGATTGTTTACTCAGTATATAATCATGATATTGGTATTCCTCCAAAATTTTACTTTAAATTGCCAATTTCCAAATTAATGTGCAACAATTTAATTAATTTTTTAAATATCTCAGAGTACCTTGGAATATAACTTTTCTATCATTCCGAAAATATTGTGAGTGACATCTAAACCGTCGTCGTTGTTTCCATAGATTCTTTTAGGATTTTTCCACACAGGTTAGTTCCACATTTTTATTATCCTTATTATACATGTATAAATTTTATCTATTGTTATATTTATAAACTTAAGTCAGTTATCCAAATATAAAATTAATTTTCTGAATAGCTGACAAGACATTATTTGAAAAGCTTAGGCACTTTTGAGTGACTTACTGACTGACTGACTAAGCTTTGAGTAAATAATCACTATACTGGCAAAAAAATAGCATCACAGTGTATACATGCATTGTCAATTTTAGATTCCCTAGCGGTAATAGTTGGAACTAACTTATGACAGACAGATTGCAGAAAAGTGTAGTATTCGTTAATTAAAGGGGTTTACTATTCGATTTGAGGATTAGAATCTGTTAGTAAATTATTAAAATGAATAAAATTAAAAAGAAAAGGAAAAGATCTACGTACTGCTGTGTACCTCAGTGTCGTAATTCAATGAAGGATGGTTTAAGTTTTCACCTTTTCCCTACCAATAGTAACCGTAAAAAACTTTGGGAAAATGTTCTGAAATTGGACCAACCTGCATCAGTTTATATGCACGTTTGCTCAGCACATTTTACCCATAAGGACTATTTTCCAGGTAATTAATGTTCCATTACCTAACAAACAGTGCATAATTATGCCTTGCAATATGTCAAATTCCGCGTAATTTAACCACTACAAAATTGTAAAAATTAAAGAATTCTTCTCAGGTCCTTTGAAAGTTAGAAGACGATTGAAAAAAACTGCAGTTCCAAGTATTAAACTTCCTGAGAGAAAGAATAATATAAATATACATGTGCCTCTTGAACAAACAATCACAGATCGATGCTCAGAACCAACACAGAGTAGCAATAACTTTTCAATTACAAAGATAGGGTGAGTAAAAATCTTATTAGCAAACTACTTTAATTAATATATCCTTCGTTAATGTTTGAAAAGAATATTTTAAAATCCGAACATAAGCCAAACCAAAATATACTTCACTTCAAAAAATACTTCTTCATATTACATAGGTGCTTATTTTACCTATACTTCAAAGTCATGGATACGTAATATAAAGCTAGCATATAAAATTAACATAACATTAACAACAAAGAGTATCCTTAATGATGTTGTAATATGCAATTTTAGACAATTATAAATCGTAATTCGCATAAAACGATATATAAACTGCCTTAAGAACTGTCATGTCAGAATGTCATTTTTGTTGTTTTAATAGATTAATCTGTGACAATTAAAATATTCGAAATGCCTATTTTTTTATATTTTTTATTTGATTTTATAAATGAAATTATGTGATAATACAATAAGACGATATTTATTTTTAAAAGCATGAATATTGATGAAGTTAGTGAACCAAATGTCGCCATGAAAATTGAGGAAAATTCTGAGTGCCGCTGTTGTCTTCAAGTTTTTGGAGCTGGTGCAATTATTATCAATTTATTCGACGCTTGGAATCCAAAATTAGAAACCATGGAAGAGACGCCAGCGGAAGATTTGGCTAAAATAACGCACATTCAGGTATTACACATCTTATAAGTATTATATATGTTATAATACTTAATCAAACGTTAATACAAATTATTATATATAAGTAAATATTGTACTCCTGAATGATTTGAAAAATGCAACTGAAACACATTATGCTATATGCTGTTATAGTCCCCAGGCGTTATATTGCGCTACAAATGTTCTTCATACAACTACCTACAAAATATATGATGTGTCACTATCTCCTCTAACTGTAGGGTGCTACAAATTTTACTTATCTTGTAGCAGTTAGTATATATAAGTGACACAGTTCAAATATTCTCTAACAAGTTACAAGGACGCCATGCTGACCGGTGGGTTAATCCACAACTAAAGTAAATTTATACATTGGGTACGAATGATCACACCTTGGCACTTTAATTGAAATAAATCTTTCAAATTATTGTACACTAAAAACATTTAAAAAATAATATATGTAATTAACAATAAAAAAAATGAGAGTGGCTATGTGAGAAATAAGATTTTTCAGTGACTACAAGATACTAATTAAATTTTTTAATTTTTTAAACTATCTGCTAACTGCTGAACTAGGAGACAGAGGCACCCATATAGATTGACTTTTTACACATCACCTATGTAAATTTTAAATAATTCACATAGTACCCATAACACAAGCTTTAGCTAACTTAACTTGGGTTTAGATGGCGCTGTGTGAAGTGTCCTGAGATTATGATTATGACTATGAATAATTGTCATTATATATGTAGTCAATTAAATTATTTATGAATACACAATGCCTTTAAATTCATTGTATTGTTTTAGTAATCATAGAATCTGTTAAAACCAGGCTACTTTTAAATATAGACTTTATATTTAACTAGTACTCATACAGTCAGTTTTGCATGAGTTATACATGTACATGTTTCGGCTACTAATTAATACACGTTTTATACATATAAACTGTTCTATTGAATCACTATATCTATTGCTAAAACAGCATTAAAATTCATTATATATTATAAAAGATCTAAGTGATCAGATGTAGCAAAACCTCATTTTATATATATATATATATATATATATAATGATGAAAAATCATCACTTACAGGTATCAGAATCAGACACACATTCCACAGTGATATGTCAAACTTGTTACGATAGACTCCGAGAGGCATGTATGTTCGCTGCAATGGTACGCAACAGTGATTGCATACTTAGACAAAGACATTTATTAAATATGAATGCAAATCAAATATGGCCTAAACCTATACAATTAGACAAAAATGTTAATGAAAACATCTATGAAACAACACATGTAGAAATCAAACGGGAAGTACTGTCTGAAGAGGAACATCCAGATTCCAATGGTTTTGGGGAAAGTTATACTGATTATTTTAATTTGGATATCAAGATTGAGCCTGAAGAAATAATGGAGACAAAACCTTCAGAAATTATTGTCAATGGTAAGTATACCAATAATAATTTATTTGCTCAAAATCACAGTACAAAAGATGACATTTAAAGCATATAATCATGGTTTTGTCAGAGCAATAGCCTGCCAAATATTATTGGCTATTTGTTTTTTCAATGCTTTTATTAATTGACACCAATTTATACAATCTAACAGAAAATTAAATTAAAAGTTTAAAATTAAATTAAAAGTTTAAAATATAAAATATTAGTTATATATATGTTTTATGTTACTTCTAATTCTGCACATCAGTCAGAGTCACCATGACCTTTAGACACAAAGGCCAGCGTTTTCCATGTTTTCTTCAATCAGAGCCACAGTGGGCCGGCAATCTTTCTAAGGTCATCAGACCATCTCTTGTACTGTCGTCCTAATATTGTCTATAAATTATAACCAATAATCTACAAAGAGAGAAAATAATAATAAGAATAGTAAAGTATTGACTTTGGTGACAGTGACCTCTACTTTGTATGTACAATCTACCTTGTTTGGTTACGCTATTCAAGAGCAATCCATTTTAATAATAATGTTTCTTTTTTATTACATATATTATGGATAAAACACATTTCGGCTTGTGAATCACGTTTTAATGAGAATGCTTATATTGTAGTTTACTTATACTTAAGTAGACTATATATAATCAACATTTTTGATTTATTAAAAACAATCACACTCATAATTATTGTTATATAACAATGATTACATTATATGTATGTAAATACGTAAATTCTAATTGGAATAGGTAACAGGCTGCATACCTGTAATTTATTGTATACTTTATTTATATTCTTATTTCATGTCTCTTATATTATACACATTACAACTATTTTTGAATTTACAGGAATAATCCCAACACAAAATAAAGTAGTACATTCATCAATACCAAATGGATTTCACGATAATGAAGAATATGGAACAGTAAGTGTCTTACAGTAAACCTTTCCTTCAATTATTTATTGATATATATTTTTGTAGCAACATGGAATGAAATGTTTGCTACATTTTATTTTCATATTAAATAATGAGAGCAGGTTTGTTATGAGCTAATTAAAAGGTTGCAACAAATACTTTAATAAAAATTAATGTTGGTAACTGACAATATCAAAAGTTCTTTCACAGGTACATTATTTAAAATGACATTGGGTATATATTATGTTAATATATACGTAAATCACAAATTTATAAGCACCTTGATTTTACAGTTGGAACCAATAAAAGAAGAACCTGTGAGTGATGATGAAGAACTACGCCAGGATTGTACTGATCTACCATTAGAATGTATGCTGTGCACAAAGTCTTTCCACAGTTTATCTGGATTGAAGGTATGAACTTTCTTAAACAGTTTAACTACTGAGTGAATAGTAGTACATCTTTGAAACTAATGTTGGAGTCTACTAAAATCATATACCAAGAAATATAAATCAAACTAAATCACTTAATGATGGACGTCTACCACTGTGCATTTTTAAGAATAAACAAGATACAAGATTGAAATTTTTAAAAACTTATTCCTTCTTAAAAGGCTGGTACTTACAAATATAATGCACTTACAATTTCCCTTTGTGTTGCGTATTCTCACTTACCATCAGGTGAGCTGCAAGCTCGTTTAAAATCAAAATTTTATACCATAGGGGATGCTAAAAATTTGAGTATACTGTGAACTATTCCAATGCTATTGGCTATAGCTGGCCTTTAAAGCGTCGCCGGACGAAAATAGGGATGAGAACTGAGGGCACTCCAAACTTGCAGAAGGACTTATAGAGCAGTTTAAGGCCAACTCCTGATGGTAACAACTTTAGTATGGGCGAACTTGCTCAGGCCATTGCAATGTTGATCTCCTTTTGGTTGGGATAGAGGGTGATCTGAGGGGTAACCCTGGAGAGCCAGAAAACTGGACTAATGTAACACTGTCAGTTTGGTTGTATAAATTCAATATTGCATTTAATTAAAATTTAAATTACAGTCAAAAATCTTATATACTTCAATCTATTTCCAATATAATATTAGAGTATTGCAATGTGAAATTATTATATTAGTAATAATAATCATACCTGTCTCCTTTACAGGTGCATGTAATTACCCAACATTCCTACAAGACTGTAAAAAGGAAGAATAGCATAACTTCATCACCTAAAAAGAAGCACAATAATAGCCACCACTGCACAATATGTCAGAGAAGTAAGTTTTTCCGATTTAAATGTTTATAATGTTATTAATTAAATTTAATTATATATTTTTTTACCAAAAATATATAACCAAGTATACAGCCTATTGATGGTAAATGGTTACCGTAGCCTATAGACGCCTAAAAACTAGGGGCGTCACGTGCGCGTTTATTATTCATTCACTTTATGTAACATTCAGTCTATTAACTCTTGGAACATGACATATGCAGTCCTTGAATCCATGTTTTTGTATAATAACACTATGCAACTCCTTGCTGAGATTTCCCTGAAACTATACAATAATAAGAATTTTATACAAAAAGGTTTGTTAGTAATAGTCATATTGCTAATAATGTTGATTACATTATTATGGATGACTTCTGTGGAGGTATACCTGATGATCATGTCAGGTAGACTTCCACAGAAGTCAAATATTTTTTATTAATTTCTGTCCATGATGATTTCTCTGGGTTGACTTTATCAGCATATCATCCTCCACTGGTGACTCGTCAGATTATACTGTCAGCACAATAGATCTCGGTAGATCACAGTGCTCTATGTCTGAAACACCTGCCAATATGGAAGTATTCCTATAGCTCCTGTACTTTCTCAGCCCTCAAGACCAAAACACAGATTTCATATGACACAGATGATATGGTGCATAGGGCTTTCAAAATATGGAAGTAACCCCATGGAGACAATATTTTTACAAAGTCCACCTTAGTATATAATTCTCATCTAGCAAGTCTTTGGTAGTGAATACTCTTAATGAATTTCATAACTCTCCTGCAGATTTCCAGACTTCAACCGATCTCATAGTGCATGAAACATGTCACAACAAACACGTGTGTTACGGCTGCAACTCCAAATTCGATAGTTTCAGTCTATTAGCGAAACATAGAAAGAAGTGTAAATCTATCACTACTGAAACCAAGAAACCTTTAATGTTGAAGGATGTTATTAGGTAAGCAACTAGGATAACAAATAAATATCCCTGGACAATTAGCACAGCGCCATGTAGTCCCACGGTAAGCAGAGCTTGTTTTGTGGGTTCTAGACAACTGATATAAATACACAGATACTTTTTTGGCTATGTTTATTACACAGTACGTAGTAATAATAAAGTATACACTCCTTTTATACGACGACGATCAAGCATCTGATGTAATCAATATAGCATCAATAGATAGACATTTAATAAAATAAAATAAAGAAAGTCTATTCTATTCTGATGAAAAAATAAGGTTAATAATTTTGAATATAAAAGTACAAACTATTTATAATCATTAACAATATTAATCTAACCTACAAATTAAATATCCATATAAATTTAAAATGATATGGGCACATCTTTTTAAATTTGTACATAGTTGTAAAAACTTTAAACAAATAAATTTATTTACTTTAAACAAATCACAGAGCATCATAAACGTTCGTATTCCGTTCACAGAGCACCGTATTCATTGAAATAGTTTTTTAATTATATTAATATCATAAACAACCCTAATTTTATATTAAACGAGTTGATACAACATTTTTTTTATTAATGGACCAACAATATAGTAAAATAATATGTCAATACAATACGCTACGTAATATTTAATATAATAAAAATATATGTGACTGAAAATTACCAAAACAAGATAAACAAGACTGATATTTTAAAGGTAACCAAAAGAAACACCTTCTAAATTGTTTCTCATAATGTAAAAACCGCGCTGTCATTTCTAACGTAACATTGCAACGAGGTTACTAAATCGACATTCGATAGAAATATTTTTTATCGATATGTAAAGTTGCGTTACGTTGCAATGCTAGTTGACAGCGTCAAATGGCGTCAATATAATCGCATTATTGACGTCATTTTCACTACGTTACATACGAAAATCGTTGCGAACGAAGTTACGCCCCCAGGTGTATCATGCGCGTTGACGAACCTCAGCTTAGTGTATCTATAGAGTACTGACTAACAAACCAAAAAATTTGAAAGCTAATCAACGATTATTTTTTTTCACTTACACACACATTTACGCGCCACGTATTACCATAGATTACCGCGTTCATACAAACAAACTCTTCATGTTTATATATTAATATATAGATAAATATAAAATTTCAGGTCCAAACCTGAGAATTCAGAAGAAAATAATGAAGATAGCGCAGCAGATTTGTTGAGGTGTAAAGTTTGCAATGACACATTTTCTGATGTGTACTACCTGAACATACACGAGGAAATACACCATACAACTACAAGCGAGTCCACCAGATCAGAGGATCCACCAGCACCTATGGAGGATGAACCCTTGGAAAGCATATTCACTGATCAATAACGGATTAACGTTTGCCTATACTACATTACTGGACTGGGTTATGTAAATAAATAGCTTCAAATATAATAATAATAATCTCAGAACAATTCACACTGCGCCATCTAGTCCCAAGTCAAACTACCTAAAACTAGTGTTATGGGTACTAGATAACTAATAAAATACATGGAAAAATATTTTTTTTCGTAAATACGTATATTATACATAGAAAACACCCAGGCCGATACAAACAATCTTACTCATGAATACAAATGTTTGTGCTTTGCAAGGAGTCGAACCCGCGACCATCGGAAGTAAGGCGATGTGCTAAACCGCTAGACCACCGAGGCCGTCAAATGCATCCAAATACGCTTAAGCGTCAATGTATGCAATAATAATTAAAAAAAAACACGGTATATATATATTTTGAAAGCAGAAATTAACTATTCAATGATATTTGACACTAAGGTAAAATATCCGGTTATTGTGACTTACCTGAATCATTTGTAATGGATGATGGCTGTGGCATCTTGGTTCAAGATGTTTTGGTAACCGGTTTAAAGCTCAAGTGTCTTCTATAGTCTTTTAACTGAATTACGTATAGCTTTAACTTAGATATTTTTTTACCGCAACCTTTAAAATTTATGAGAATTAAATAGCCATTTTACGAGAATCATATTATGATTAATTTCATGTACAGTTGAGAATAGTTGACGCAAGATGCGCCAGAGATGACGTAATGTTACTACAAATACAAGTTCGTTCGTTTACCAAAGTATATGAAATACATCATTACTATGACGCATGAAATATAATCTTTCTAAACTCCGAGAATTTACATTTTTATGATTTCGGGCTATTAATGATTTAAATAATAATATACTGATTGGTGTTTTAGTAAGAAAACAACATACATGGACATGTAATAATTTATAACAACGATTTTAAAATACTTGTTAGTTTTATATTCTCCTCAAATTATTTATGTTTGCAATTCATTTAATTTATTATCAGTTTTCGATCAAAATTAAGGAAAAATAAATATAAACTACTTGATATGAATTTTAGCAATTGAGTTATTAGTTCATAAATTGCTCAATACGTAGCACTGAATAAATACTTATTATTTAAATTTAATTTAATTATTCGTGTTAAAACCCTTCTAACTATATTAATAATTTACAGTGAACAAATGTTAGTGTACATTACACAACACAATTCCATTCAAATTTATAGTTTTAATTCAAGTGTACAGTTTGTGAACCTCTCTCTTCATCGGTTTATTTACAGATTCTATGGATTTATTTGAATTGCATACATATCGCTTTAGCATGCCAGGTAGCGAAATTTCACCTCTTGAGAATATCTGATTAATATAATGCTATAGCCCATTTTAAATCTATACATAAAAATGTATCCAAGTTTATTGTACCGGTAATTTTAAGACGATGGTCGAAAGTGATAATTTTAGCCCCCCTTGTACAATATACAATGATTATTAGGTATATCAGGCCATTCATAATCATTTTGTAAATTGTCAATCTCATAATTCGATGTAAATATCGTTATAAAATATGATTATTGTATGAATGTGTAAAATATATTGTTGCGTTTTGTGCAACCCAAGTAAACGTTTTTTTATAATTAAATCAAACAATATCATGTTGATAGAATAGAATTGCTGCAGGCCTCGAGGAACCCAGGGGTTGGTTTCGGAATTAGGTTCTTTTATCTTTGATTGATTTAAAAAATAGTAACGATGTAGGTATTTTCAATGCCGTACAAAGTATGTACAGTTTTAGTAAATACATATTAATAGAAAGCACCCAGAACAATACTTACGACCATGCTGATGAATACAAATGTTTCTACAATTTACTGGACTATTCTCTGCAACTTTTTGTACCATATTTTCAGCTTGGGGAGCATTTTGGTATTTGTCTATAATAAACCTTGGGAAAATACTTTTATGACCATAAAATAAAAATGCATAAATTCAACATAAATTTTTATCTGATAATTTTTACAAGTGATTTGTGTCTTTAGACGTTGAATAACAATTATTATTAATAATATTAACACACGAATGAATATTGAAGCTGTAATACATTTAATTATAAAACAAAATTGTTGTATTATATGCAACTAACATAAATATTTACGTGCCTATTACAGAGAAATCTTGTAATGTACAGTAAAAATAGCATAATCTGTATATATGTATATATACTATTGATAATAATGTAGTCATAATTTATTACAATAGTAAAATACAAATAGGTTTTTCGATAGACACTTATAAATATGAATATAGTTTCCGCTTGAAGTTACTGCCTGACTATTCACACTGCTTTCCTTTTGTGAATAATATACTATAAAATTAATAATTTACAACAAAACCTATTTTAAAACAATTTATTGCACCTTGTGTAATTCAGTCTAGATTTTGACCTCACTCTAGATTCTTCAGTCTAGATTTTGACATTACTCTGGTTTTACTTCGTTTCGCAATACAACAAAACTTTTATTTTGTATTATAATGGATATTAATTACACAATATTTAAAAACAATAATAATATATAAAAATGTCCACTATTTTGGACGTGAAGTTTGAATGAGTTATCCTCATGCACTTCTGAAACAGAAGTAGGTTTGCCATCTGTAAACAAGGGCAACCACGAGAAACAACTGATGACAACCATAAACAGAAATAGTCTATATGTTTTTTATATATGTATATAAAAATATTTTAAGTATATATGTATATACATACATTATTTCACAGCCTTATTATTCATTCTTTAGTCAAAATAATATATACATGCAAAACATTAATATATGCAATTAGCATCGAAATCTATTAGAAATGCGTTAGGAATTACTAGCTGCTCATAAAATATGTACTTAATAGATTGCACTTTAGTACAATAAAAATCGAATTGGTGATATTGAAACAAATTTTATTCCAATAAATATAACACAAGAAAAGATATTTCTATGATATCATAGATAGGAAAACTATTAAAACCAGTTCTTGTGTAGTAATCATAAAACTAAAAAAAAACTTTAAGAACTCTACAATAGTAAAAAGAAATATCGAACTTTATATTCCGCAAAACCGTGGAATGGATAAAATAAAATACTGACATAAAAATCTAACTGTATTAATAATTAGTAATAAAAATACTATGAATAAATAAATTAGTAATAAAATTCAATAGTTCATTTTGACATAATTAAGTTGATATCTTACAACATTTTTTATTAGGTTCATAACTGAATTAAAAGCTGTGGCCACATTGTCTGCTAAGAGACCTCGAAGATATATTATCAAAATTCTTCGCCGTATAATGTTATTCTGGTTCCATAAAGATATTCATATATCATTATAAAAAATATATAATAGTGTTATATCTACTCGAGTTCCTCATATAAAAAAAATGACACCAAAGCGCAAAAAAATTATACTTTACAATGTTCAATTCATGTACAAACGTTGTTGAAAAATACTCTTTATTTTCTATCTATATACGAATATATCTTTTAATATGCAGTGAATAGGAACAGTTTTTTCAGTGACAACGTAACACGAATCTTCGGCTGAAGATATGGCGGTAGCATATTTGGAAATCATTGGACACTAACAAAATAACCAATATCTGTCTGTTATAAATATATTAAAACAAGTGCATGTGATTTACTACCAAATTATCTCGCATGAGCTAAATCTGCAATGACATGTTACAAATAAGAGGCCATCCAAAAATTTTAAACCTTACGTCACATATTGAGGGGAAAGGACGTTGACCAAGTGAGACAAGATGGCGAGGAACCCAAAATTTCTTACCGTCATTTCAATCTATCTGTATATATAAAAATTAATTGCTGTTTATTAGTCTCGCTAAAACTCGAGAACGGCTGTACCGATTTAGCTAAATTTAGTCTAAATATTAATTGAAGTCCAGGGAAGATTTAAACGGGGATAAAATTGCGTGTAAAGTAGTAAAAACAATTCTATTTTCCCATACATATTACTGAGACCTGTCAAACAGCGTGCGTTTGTTCAGAAATTTATTGCGTAATTAAACTTCAAAAAACCTTTGACATATTCAATTTTGAGGCATAACGGAGTTTGCGGTCGGAGGTAGTAGCTAATATAGTATATTACAAAATTAAAAACTTCAGTTTGTTGACGGGTTTAGTTTAATAGTGTAAAATTGCAAAATATATTAAGTCACACTAGGGAGGGGGAGTCTGAAATGTAACCAGCTATGACAGGAACATGACAAAGGTCAAAAATTCATGTAAATTAATTTACTGATAGCCCCTAATGCGAGATTTTAATCTACCATCTAATTCACTATGCTCTAGTTTCTGTTGAGTTCATTTAGAAGTCGCAGAATGTATAAGAATAGGTTCAGAATATCCATATACAAATTAATAGTGGCCAGGATATACTCCTCCGGGGAGAGCGTGGTCATCATCTGCTGGGTGTCGAAGATAAGGAACAAACTGAAAAGTACGACTCCCACGAAGGATAACGCTATTTCGAAGACGGAGCTCTGGAGGAAGATCTGAATCAAACCTCCAATGATCAAGACGCAGAGGCCGGCCACGAGACTGTAATTAAAATTATTAACACTACAATATCTGGCCAAACTTTTAGCAGTAAAAAATGCATTAAAAACTAATATGACGTCATTGGAAACTAGAGACCCCTTTAGGCTTCAACTAGTTCGCTTAAATTGAGATGTATTGAAATAATAAATGATAACAAAAGAGCAAAGAAGTATTAAAGAGCAAACGATTATCTCTTTTAAAATCAGTAAAAACGTGCAAATATATAAATTTCGTATACACCTGTAAGTGAATAAAGTCGTGATGGGGAGGAACAGTATCCATGATTGTTGAACAACTTTCACCGAAAAGCCCTGTGTAACATAATATAATAAATTATGAAGTCCGTAGTTATTCTTACAATCTTCCACAATCGTTGTTTATATTGAATGATTCACTGCCATACTTCATTATAACAGAATCATTGTTTATATTTAATGATTCACTCAATGAGCTACCTACTGTGTGTGTGTGTACTGGAATTACCAAAACCACAATAACAGGACAATTAAATAATGCTTACCCATATCCAACAAAAGAGAAGTCCCTTTTAGTGTTAAGTGTGTACAGCGTAAGAGCAAAGACAACAGTGAATGTTAGGCCGAGTGCTTGCAACACCACCACTGTATTGTAAAACGAGACCACCACGCCGATTGTGTATGCTTGAACTATAGTCTGTAATACAAGTAAATGTAAATTGGACTCTATTCTCCGCATTTAGCCTTTCATCTGGGCTATAACCCCTGTAGTTCGGTTCTACACTAAAGTAAAGTTAGTAAAGCTGCTAAAGTAGCCAGCTAAGCTCCTACCAGAAGCGCTGAAGCCGTCTGCCATCTTCACAGACTTCACGAAGCGTCGTCACAGGTTCCGAGGATTTCTATATCTTGTGTGTAACATAAGTTAGAGAGGTTGAATTGTTTACCAGAGATTATCTGTGCAGTGATCTACCAAACAACACAACTCAGGTGTGGAGAGAGTTATATTGATAATGATCAGTAATATTCACATTGCTAGCAATTAAGCATTGAAAACAATAGTCGATATATTTAATATAAAAATACCAATCATAAGGTTGGCAACACTGAGATTAATCAACTTAACATGTGTCCATCTATCAAACGGAACGGGAAATTCCTCGTCGCTTGTTTTTGGTTCGTGTATTATTTTAGTTTTTTTTAACATAGTAATATAATTAGGTTAGCCCCTGAGTAGTTTTAGCCCAGGACTCAACGAACTTACGATCCGCCCCTGAGCGTATACAATACACTAGGCAAGCAGGTGCACTAACATCCTATCATTAAAAATTAAATACTGAGTGGTATAAAAAAATATCACCAAAATGGTGGCAATCAAGTATAATTCTAAGTTACTTACGAACGCTGCCAACAGATAGAGATTTGCGGGGGTGTCTCGTCTTTTTACAATCAATGCCAACAACGTGACCATGCTCATGATGAAAGCAATGAACACCAGCCAGTCACTGGAAGTCAAAATTGTATTTTCATTTAAAGGTTTTTGGATGCAACTCCGCTAAATATTCATAGACATACTGGTTAAGCCCGCAAGTTAGTACCCCTTATAACTTTTTTGTTTGTAAACTAATTGGAACAAAACAAATCATACTCCTGTCTGCCGACCTAATTGAGATGGTATCCAGACTTTACTCTGAGTCACTGGACAACAGCAAGTCATCATGACTAATCTTTGGGTCTTATGAATATCTAATTTACATACCATAGATTTGCTAAACCCCTATCAGTTGAGATAATTGATACTGATAGTGATATTTTTTTTATGTATTTGGAATGGCAAACAGGCTAACCTAGATGGTAATGTTCGTCCATACACATGAACAACACTATGGACATCATATTACCATGTGACACATGTGATAACACTCATGTATGCCATTGCAGAAGACTAAGATGTCTTACGTCTTATCCCAAAATTTCATCGCCTAATCTGAACCATACTGACTTGAACACAGCTTAAAGAGCGAGTTACTTTGTGTCTGACATAGGCAAGATTGAAATGCAGGCGGGAAAGTGATTGTTAGTAATGTGGACTTACAATCCCATTGCTAACAATGTACCATGGCAGGTTGACGATGACGCGCTTCCCCTTGGAAATCATCACCGTACACGTGAATTTGTCGTGAATTTGCCGACTTGAACATCATAATGAATTACATGTGAATTTGTCATTATGCGCTTACTGACCTGACCTCATGCCCATCTTATCATCCTCCACTGGTACTCCGCCAGCATAAACCTTTAGCGCAGGTTGGTGCACCATTTCATTATCATCCATTAGAAAAAAAAACAGGGCACACCATTGACTTTGTTGTTGATACAGTCTACCTCTGTTAAATATTGTACATAATTAAACTTACTTTTTATGAATAAAAGCCTGGACAGGTTCTACAAGAGTAAATGTGGCTGCAATTGCAAATGTAGCTAGCAATTGGATTGTGAGCAGCCCATACACCTTCCGGATGAATGCGAGACGAATATCCTTGTCTGCATTCATCACATTATTGCGGTATGCAAAATCATCCTGTAAATTAAAAATACACTGACACTTTTTTCTTTTCTTTTAGCATCTACAATCAACCTTCTGGCTATAATCAGATGTATTGATATTTAATTATTATTTTTTGGGATATGTCGTCCATTGACGCCAAAAACTTTTATTGTTTATATTTTGGCCAGACATTCCCTCATCATAATCACATCATCACCAGTATCTAGAAGCTTTAAGGCTTCCTCCTCAATAGTTGAGACCTCGATGTACTTGTGTACTTCATCATTCCTTGTAAACCATGGTGAATTTGTGATAATTTTTAGAGCATCATTCTAGAATCTCTATAGGATTTCGATATTCGATTGGGAAGCCATACTTCAACTCCGTAAGTCCATACTGTACTGTATAATACCATCCTTTAATAATACATTTGTATATAATTGTTTTGTTTTCAAGACTTAAGGAGGATTGTCTACCTATTAGCCAGTTCATTTGACGCAACTTATTATGTTGGACTCTTTTCGCCTTAATGGGATTCCTCCTAAGGTTAAGGTTCTGCCAAAATACTTGACTGTGAATTATTGTGGTAGTAAAGTTCCATTACACTGTGAATATAACAAACTATGACAATTCTAGTCAATCGTGGTGAAGTCATATTACGCATTGTCTTCTTCGGATCAAATATTCCAAGCAATGGCTTGTGATCTGTTATTATACAGAATTGTCTTCCTGTTAGATAGTTATGTAACTTTTTTATGCCAAACATAATTAAAGCAGCTTCTTTGTCAAGCTGTGAACACCACGAACAACGTCGCTCATAGGGATGGGCATTCTAGAATGAAATTCAGTATTATCTGTTACATGTGACAATGCAGCTCCTACACCGCTGCTATCACAAGTAAGTAGGTTTAGTTACGTCATAATGTACCAACGTTAAATAAAATGTCAATAATCGCTTTGCCGTCTCAAATGACTTTTGTTCCCGTTCAGTCCAATGCCATTTCTGCGGTGTATCCACCAAACGGTGTAAAGGTTCCAATAAAGTAGCTTTATGAGGTATGAAAAAATATATAGCCGTATAGCCATAAAAATTATAAGCCGCGTCCATGTTTCCTTATGTTTAGATGGGATTGCACTTTTTTTTTACTAATGCAAATCTATGGCCCTTCATCTTACAGTAGCTGCAAATGGCATTTAAAAATCTGCATTGTCTATTGTGCCGCTTACCATATTGATAGCAAAAACGAACGGATGCTCTTGACTGGACAGCGTCTCTATCCATCGGTTCTGAACTCAAAAATGACGTGTCGCCGGGCCCGCGAGAGAGACCGGGCGTGGTTGTGTCGTCCGCTGCGGTCGCGGTGCCAGTAGACACTTGAATCATGCGTCCATCTCGCCCCGCAGTTTCCAATAATAACATAGTATCCACTACGTCTTGATAGCATAATTTGTCCCGTTTCAATAGTGTATGTCCCTATTGTCCATTTGAGAATTAAACTCATCGAATTTTACAGCTTTTATGTCCATTTTAGTACTTTTACACTATGTTGCCACTAATAATAGCCTTTAATATATATATAGTATCATCATTATTATTATTATTATTACATAATATAAAATAACGTCGCTGTCGCTGTTTGTCAGTCCCTATGTATGCTTAAATCTTTAAAACTACCAACGAATTTTGTAGCGGTTTTTTTTAATATAGAGAGTGATTCAAGAGCAAGGTTTATGTTATATGTTTAAGACATGTACACCCGTACGAAGCCGGGGTGGGTGGCTAGTTATGAAATAAAACGCGGTATGTAGCTTGTATAACTTTATAATACAAGCAATGTCAAGGATATATTGCACCTACTAAATTAATACACTTTATTAACAAAGTATAATAGTATGTACCCACTATTATACATATGTTTATATGACACATATGTTTATAAACATTAATGTTAAAATACCAGATGATATAAAGGAACACAAGGATAATTGACAAATAAACTAATTAATTGATTACTCAACAAAAGTTTCAACTCCGTAAACAAGTTTTAAAATTAATAATAATGTGATAATCATAATTATATGTATTCAGAATTACTCTCATGACCAACATTTTGTGTAATGAAATAATCCTTAAATAATTTTAAATTTAGCATGCCTCATAAGGAAAAACATAATGGTACATTATAATCTACGATGACAACCAATGTATACCGCATATAAATTTGATTTTAACTGTTATTTATACTCACACTTTAACTCGTCTAACAGTAGCTGGTATTTAAATATTGCATGTGTGTTTGTCTATCAAGCAAGTATATGTGTATCTACACAACAATATTCACCGCGTACAAGCTACCACAATTGTTATTACACACAAACAGTATTCGTTAGTAAAACCCATATTACAATATCATCTAGCCAATAGTGTTAACTAAAATACTGTAATTTAAACTTAGTCATTTGGGAATGGAGTCATAAAATTCCTATGAGATGACATATTCATTGAGGCTATGATCTATATCTAGACCATAAACAAAATTAAGCAAATCCATAACTTCTGAAGGTACTTGAAAAACCATTCAGTATCTCTTGTACCTATGCATGAATTTCAAGATACATCCTATACTTATAAATAGAAATGGAGTGTCTATTTGTAATATTGAAATAACTGTTTTTTACTACATGCATATGAATATAAATACGGTACATACGCCAATATAACATTTTTTACAATTTTTGTCTGTCCGTCTGTTTGTTCCGGCTAATCTCTGAAACCGTTGGACCGATTTTGACGGGACTTTTTTTGGCAGGTAGATGATGTAATAAGGAGTAACTTAAGCTACTTTCATTTTAGAAAAATCTTTTATTTTATAAAAATAAAGTTAAATTCCACGCGGATAAAGCTTGAACGACACTAGAATATGTTTTATGTGGTAAGATCTGAAGTTTAAAGGAATTGATAAGAATTTAAATTTACGTGTGAAACTCTTATCAAATTAATGATATGTAAACCTACATTGTTCTTATTCTAAACAAATAAGATAATATAAATAGTCACTTATAAAATTAATTCATTGTTGACATATTCAGAAAGTGAAGGACGGAGCGTCACGTATTTACATTCACCAACTCATATATTGAAAAGAATCATTTAAAAATAATTATCCTGTTACCTCAATTGTTTCTTTTCCACCAAGTTCACAGTCCTCCTGCGCGTACATTAACGGTATCGAAGCCATTATTTCTTTTGCTTCTTGTTTACCGTATTTAGTTGCAAAATCAAAGTAGTAAATATAAATATAGAAATATTTTATATTTTTTATCAATGGTCATTCCATTCGTGACGTGTATATTGCAACAGTTGCACAGAGAACACTAGGGAAACTCTTTACTATTATAAGTCGTGAATAGCATCATTGAACTTAAAGAACTATGATTCCAAACCAGTAAAAGTATTAATGAAATAAATTTATTCATTAATCTATACTCTACAAATTCTACAATTTGTCTCAGTGTTGCCAATTTATCATATTTTATACTAAATTTGGCATTTTTTTACGGTGTTTAGCATATTTATTTGTCGTTAAGCATGTAGCATATTTTGACCATGAAAAAAAAAGATTCTAATAATAACACCTTTGCAGATTTATCACAGCGATATCGTTACTGTTACTGCCACATTCTCATACAGAAATGGAACGAATTTTTAGTCAAATAAATAGAATAGAATAGAAAATCATTTATTCAAATAAACTTACATTGAAGCATTTTTGAATAGTCATTACATTTTTTTAATCTACCGCTCATTCGGAAAGCTGTCTCGTCACAAGAAGAACGAGCAAGAAAATTTTATTATTTCTTTACATTTTTAAGTTTAAGTGTGTGAATACAAACCACCAATTAGCACTAATTCAATTAAATACTCAAATAGAAAAAATATTGGATATATAACCAACTGGTTAAACAATTAATAAGAGGAAATCAGTCATAATGATTAGAGCAGACCAGTCCCTACAAGCAGCACCCGTTCACGAGTATGACGGATGAGCCAGCCATCAATGCGCTCGACCATATTTTTGGGAGCCCAATGACCCGGCCCACCACGCCGCCACAAGTCTGGACATTTTAGTGAGCATAACTACTCAAAACACCAGACCACGTTAAAGCCACTTACAATTGCCATCTGATAGTTATATTTAGCGGCTATATTGTTACCGCTATTATTTATGTTTGTGTTTGTAATGTAGCAGTAGCAGGAAAGGAGATGATGTGATAAGTCCAATGATTGCTATTTTACATTATGTATATTAACAAAATATTTACAATGAATATATATACAAGAAAGGTGATTCGGTCTCGAATAACAAGCTTGTTATTCTTCTTGCCCTATCGTAACTAGGCAACGATGTTGCCGCACGATGATAGTAGATTCGCCACATATAGTATTCACATTTTACATAAGAATGCATGCGGCAATCAATACAAAAACCGGTATGCTTTCATATTTCTAAAATAATTTAATCAATTCGTTAAACAAACTTCGCAACCGTTTATCAATAAAAACTCTAAATGCCATTTTGTACTTCAGATTCGGTCTAAAAAGAGCAGGGAAATGTTGTTATTCTTACACCGTTCCGGACGATATACCTACTGTGATCTATAGTTATCATGAAGAGTTAAAGTTTCGAATATGACGCTTCCATCATGACATCTACATCCACATCTACATCAGCAGCATCATCCGTCCAAGTTGAAGATCAAGATATTGATGTCTTATTTGAAAATAATAGATGATTAAAACATAAAATTTGTTGATTATTAAATATTTACAATTGAATGACGTTTTATTTGACATTGGAAAATGTTAACATAATTTTAAGAGCAATTTAGCATATTTCGTATTATTTTGTTGGCAACACTGATTAGTCTATGGAATTTATTCCTTTTGATCTGTGACAGTGATACTCACATGTTTTAGTGTTTTGAATTTTAATATAATAATAATAAATATGGAGGAAAAAACACCAACAATTAGTTTGGTTTCATGCATGCATTTCGTCAAACGAGGAGTGGCAAAAGAGATTCCAGAAAAGGTATCGTCGTATTAATTCTACCTAATGCAACTAACCGATTCAAATCAGTTACAGGTTGTGTTATTAAAAATGTTTGTTTATTCATTTACAGATTGAATTAACAGAAAAAGAATTAGAAAAGATAATTAAACAAACCGCTAACGATTTACGGTAAGATAATGAGTTATTTGCATTCTTTTGTATACTTTATTTAACTTTTGTAATTTTACGACGCAAGTGTAGAATTTTAAAAATATAGGTAAAATCTAAACATTTCTTCCTCATAGACACGATTGTCTTTATTGTTTCCTGAACAAATTATCTATTATTGACTAGAGACCAAATTAACTCAAAAAACGGGAACGTAAACAAACTATTTATAATTAATATAGTTTTTCTATATATGTCTAATTGCTGTTTTCATAAAACTTAAGACACAAGCCTTTTCTATAAATATTGCTTTATTATCTCTATTTATAAACGCTCTATAAAGCTCTTATAACTGTTCATTAGCAATCAGTTTGTAATTATGATATCTGATAGTGAAAAACGTTAATTTATATTTTCATAGAAGTATAAATCTAAAAATTGTGAAACACACAAGTTAATTAATGCAATTACGACCATTTCTACAATTAATTTAATTAATATGTGAATTCGCCAAAAAAAAACATTTAAAAAAAAAGTCAATCCATTTCTTTTACCAGATAAGTGGTAAGATATAAAACGATTCAATAAAAATTGATATATGACTATTCAAAAGTGCTTAAATTAAGTTTATTTGAATAAATGATTTTCTATTCTATTCTAAAAGTGGAATAAAATCTATAAATTGTATATTATTTTAGCTTGACAGAAGATGGTGATGATGTAAGCGATGAAGAAGGTGAAGCCAGTGCTAGTGCAGCACCAGATCCTCCAGCAGATCCTGAGGACAAATTCAACTTTGCAAACTATGATGAAGAGGACTTAAGTATGTTTGTTTTCTATTTACATACACTCTATAGTGACATCTACATGTCTCTTTTGTTAAGCATACTACAGAGAGAACTATATGTTAAGAGTATGATGTGCTAATAATCTGTTTATAAAAAATTTAATTCACTTATTGTCATAGCGATGATGATGATCATGATGATTGTCATAGCTGGGCACTGTTAATCAAATAGTTAACTTCGTTAATAGTTAATCTGCTGCAAAAAAGTTAGCTGCGTTAAAAATTAAAGCATTACATTCTAGAAGAATTAACTTAAGTTAATATTAATTGTTAATCAAAATGTTAGATTTGTTCATTAATGATTAATGGATATACAAGTTAATGCTTTTAATGATATACTTTATTTGTGTCAATATTATGTTAATAAACACTTTACACTGACTAAATAATATGTTTTCATTATTTTACAGTGCATTCATAATCCTGTTACAAATTGGAACAGTAGCTGTCACTCATATGAAACTGTATTTTTGTAAAGATCTTAGTGAGAATGTTCAAATCCTGCTAAATTAAAAAAAAATATAGAATAGATTATGTGTAAAGGACAAAAATGTAGTTTTATTTGAATAATCTGATAATTGAAGTACAGTCATTTGAATATAGTTAAACAGTTATCATTCTTTTAATCTACTGTTTATTCTGTGTTTTGAAAGTTGTCAATACATTATATTTTTCAATAAAATGGGCTGTAAAGTAATAATATTAATTTGTGTGTTGGTTACCATTCAATCACAAATCAAATTGATGAAGGAATGGGCAATGGTTTACACTCTCGATATATTTTGGATACATTTATACAAAATAATTTTTAATAAAATAAATATGTTAATTTACTTTGTTTATAATATTATATCACACAATATTTTTATCTACATAGGATTAGTCTTAAGTTGTTGGTATTTATACCAATCTCTCTAGTACGGCGAACGATCTCATATAACAATCCAGTCTCATCAAATGAAACATTTAAATGTAATAAAAATGTAATTTTCAACTCATTAAAAAATAATGCTGTCAAATGATAAATTAACAAATATTTTTAAATTTATATTCAGAATTCTCTCTTTTGTTTATTCATTTTATTTTGATGAATATTATCAATCCGTTAATTCTAATCATGGTAATACTCTAAAGAGATTCTAACTAACGAATTGTAACTAATTAAAACAATCGTAAATTATAACATGCAATTTGTAAATAAAACAATCGTTTTAAATGTTGCCAACGATGTTTTATTGGTCCACTATATACCAAAGAAACCTCGAGTTTTACAAAATATTTAAATCAATATTAATGAATTAATAAAACTACTTGAAACCATTATATTAAAAATTGCATAAAAATACATGCATATTCAAACCAAAAATCATTGTAATATTTAAAAAATGTTAATATATAATTATTAAATAAACAATTACAATAATAAAATGATTTATATATATTATAGGAAAATGTATAAAACTGTATTAATTTACATAATTTGTTCAATACTGGAGGAGTTAGATTCTGCTAGATTTAGTGGTGAAAATAAAATAGCAACACTGAACGTCATGCGTATATGGTAAAACAGTCCAACGTCAAGATTGCAACATAATGATAAAAACAGTGCCATGTCTATTAGTTAGCGAGGCTTTATAATAGGTTTATGAATAACGCACTTCTATAAACCTTCAATAGCGCTAATGAACGTTTTAACTAATGAGCTCTATAAACCTTTAAGTTTTTTTATGAATAATACCGTATATACTATATTATATATCTATATAATTTTACTGCTTTTACCATCAGACACATCTATAAATATTGTTTTGTTTTAGTATCTCAAGTTGTTAATTTATATTTTTTATAAATCTAAAGCAACACATATTTATATGCTCCTTCTTCTGTGATGACAGCTTTCCGAACGGTAGATAAAAAACAAATTTGACTATTCAAAAGTGCTTAAATTAAGTTTATTTGAATAAATGATTTTCATTCTACAGTGGAATAAAATCTATAAATTGTATATTATTTTAGCTTGACAGAAGATTGATGATGTAGATCATCCAGTGCTATGCAGCACCAGATCCTCCAGCAGATTGAGGATATATTATCTTTGCAAACTATGATGAAGAGGACTTAAGTATGTTTGTTTTCTATTTACATACACTCTATTATCTACATGTCTCTTTTGTTAAGCATACTACAGAGAGAACTATATGTTAAGATATGATGTGTAATAATCTGTTTATAAAAAATTTAATTCACTTATTGTCATAATGTTGATGATGATGATTATATATTTTTTTAATCAAATAGTTCTTTTTTTATACTGCAAAAAAGTTGTCGTTAAAAATTAAAGCATTACATTCTAGAAGAATTAACTTAAGTTAATATTAATTGTTAATCAAAATGTTAGATTTGTTCATTAATGATTAATGGACTAACAAGTTAATGCCCAGATATGCTTATTGTGTGTCAATGTCTTTACACTGACTAAATAATATGTTTTCATTATTTTACAGGCAATCCTGTAGGAATTGGAACAGTAGCAACTCTGCCAAACTTAGGAGATCTTAGTGAGAATGTTCAAATCCGGGTAAATTAAAAAAAAATATAGAATAGATTCGAAAAACCCTTTATTTGAATAAACTTAATTGAAGTACTTTTGTATAGAAACAGTTATCCTTCTTTTAATCTACTGCTTATTCTGAAAGTTGTCCCATTACAAGAAAAATGAGCAAGAAACTTGTGTGTTGCTCGTTTAAATAATTATTGTAACTTTACATTTTTATGTAAATACAAAATAAAATATGTTACATCTATAATATTAATCACACAATAATTGTTCTACATAGGATTAGTCTTAAAGGGTATTTATACCAATAGCCAAGTAGAAAACTCATATAACTGATCCAGTCTCATCAAATGAAACATTTAAATTCTAATGTAATTTTACAACTCATTACAAACTATGCTGTCATATGATAAGTATGAATTTTTTTTAAATTTATATTCAGAATTCTACTGTATTCATTTTATTTTGATGAATATTATATGCTTTCAGCATGGTATACCTTTTATGACTAACCCAGTTAATTAAATACAATTCCTTTTAAATGCTGGGATGGTCCACCCCACCAGTATGTTCTGTTAAAGAAGTTTGAAGTTTAATCACTTGCATTATATTTCTTATTCCATTCTCAACACATTTATAATAAATTTAATATATAATAAATAAATAAACAGATGTGATTTATTTATATTATATTTATACTTTACAGACAGACGGCCCAGATAGTGATGAAGAGGATGAAATAATCAAACCAAATGACAATCTGCTGCTCGTGGGACATGTGGAAAGTGATGCCAGTGTCTTAGAAGTTTATAGTAAGTTCTATTTGCTATTACAGTCAGTATGAATTAAATTCATAAATTTTGTATTGTTTTTAATTTTATACTATATACTAATAAAATGTATATAATTTTACACAATTGTATCAGCATTATAGATAAGTTTTGTTTTTCAAGCCAAGTTGTTAAACAGTCATTTTTTAACACATCTAAATTCACATATTTATATAGCCACTCTCTGTTGAGTGGTGTGACATTTGATCAGTGATTTTGTACACACAGGGCTCCTGCAATGTTTTCTTTCTGTCATTTTGTAGTCATCCATCATCCCATTTGATCAGTAATTGATATATGTATCTTAATAAAAAATTCAGTTTTGTTACAATGCTCATTTATTACTCAGTAACAGAGACGTAACAAATGTATGTGTTTTGATTGAAACAAATGTAAGACATTCTAATGTTTTAATATTATATATTTTTTTAATGGGCAATCTGTTTTTTATACCATTGTCCAATCTGATGACTCTCTCTCTATCTGTAATTCTTTAAATTCATGAGGCTGCTCAAATGAGTCAACTCTCAGGCGTTGTCTGTAAATCTTTCCGCCAGTCCCTGTAAATCGCATCTTTTAAGTCGAGAGAATCTTAGATACCCCATCTATTGTATAGTAATAATACAGATATATATTATAAATGATCAAAAGATAATTATGAAATCTAACTGAAGAAGTAGCTTTTCTGTCAAGTACTTGATTTAATATGTCTAATAATAAATTTGTATATTGTTTCAGTATTCAACCATGAGGAAGGCTCATTCTATGTTCATCATGACATTATACTGCCATGGTTTCCACTGTGCGTTGAGTGGCTGAGTCATGATCCCTCAGACCCCAATCCAGGTAATTGTCATCATTACATATCAAATATATTCAATATTAGGCTAAAAATAAATTAATCAAATTTTATACTTTCTACCATTTATCAAGTCGTACTTCTTTATTGTTTGGCTGATTACTTCAGTTGTAAAGACAAAAAACTGAAGGAGTATATTTATTGTCCATTATTTTTGTTAATCAGTTTCAATCCTTACATAAAATAGCTTTCAAATTCTGTCTAATATATTGAAACATATACGCTAATTGAGACATACACTCTTTATTATAAACTAATCGTTACCTACTCCTAAATACCGACTGTAAAATAAAATACTACTTCACTAATAATAAAGTGTTCTATAGGAACAAGATTTTTTCAAATCAGCTTTCTAATATTTGGTTTTATAGAATCCAAATGAGTATCAAATCTTCTCTTGTAAAATATCAGTGAAGGTATACTTCCCCAAAAATTCTACGGCCTGTACATCTGTTCTTATTCTTAACAACAACTTGCAGGCAACCTGTGCGCACTGGGTGGTATGGACCCAGTCATACAAGTGTGGGACCTAGACATAGAGAATTGTCTCGAACCAGCATTCAAATATAATTCCAATAAAAAGAAGTGAAACAAGAGAATTGGACACAAAATAGATATAATATCCATCAGGTTTTATGTATGTTTGAAACAGATCAAATTCAATTATGACTAAACTTATATATAAAATTCTCGTGTCCTCCTCGGCTTGACCGATTTTTATGAATTTTATATACATATTCAGTGTATCAACAAAATAATGTAAATCCATCAAGTAGTGAAACAGATAGTAATCGTGAACAAAATAATATAAATCCATCAAGTAGTGAAACAGATAGTAATCGTGAACAAAATAATATAAATCCATCAAGTAGTGAAACAGATAGTAATCATGAACAAAATAATATAAATGCATCAATTAGTGAAACAGATAGTAATCATGAACAAAATAATATAAATGCATCAAGTAGTGAAACAGATAGTAATCATGAACAAAATAATATAAATGCATCAAGTAGTGAAATAGATAGTAATCATGAACAAAATAATATAAATCGGGTTATCCGCCCCTAACATTTTATTTTTATTTTTGGACAATTTCATTTATATTTTTAAAATTGTATCATTAAAAAATACATACATCCCTAAATTTTATCCCTTCTAACACCAACCCCTATTTTTTGATAATGATTTATATGGCAAAACAATGTTTGCCGGGACAGCTAGTGTATATATATATGTATATTATCTCACTAACATTAAATATATATAGTGAGTAGTATTATGCTGAAATTTACATATGTGTTAAGTATATAATGTGGGTCATTCCAATTCATAGTTTTGTGTGTTTGCAGACATGTATTGGCGAGTGGTTCTGCAGACAGCACAGTTTTGTTATGGGATTTAGACCAAGGCACACCGCATACAAAGTTTGACGAGTTTGAAGATAAGGTAAAAATACATGCATTATATATTAAATTCAGCATGGTTTGAACGTGCCTAGGATTTATTATTGTCTGATACTACAGAATGTGTATATGTTTGCATTTAAGACTCATATCATTTCACTTTCTTTTAAAATTTTATATTTTATACCATAGAATTTATTTTCCAAAAACACGTTTAAGATTTATAAACCATCAATAACTTTATAGTTATGTTTTTACTCCATTGTCAGATGTGTGCCATTTTGCAATGATAATTAATTGTTACAAAAAGGCGCTAAAACACGCATGATTGAAGAATGTGGGAACGCGCGAGCTGGCAGAGCACACGGTCTTTGTGGCTCTCTTTGTCTACATTTATGTGCTCAGTCTGTCCTGCGTCACAACCTATTCGCGTGTAAAAAGCGTGTTACATAGAATGACAACCCTGAATCTGCATAGAGTGGCATCCCTTTCTTGTTGCCTCATCAGCACCGTTTAGCGTTCCATGTTCGGTCCGCTTCTAATAAAGTTACCGAATCAGAGGCATCAACGTGAAAACCTGGCCTCCCTTGCCCAGGTGGGACCTCACCAAAAGATTTCAGATTTAATTCATCCATCGTGGAAGTATCACATAGTCTTAATTATTTTGTAAGAATATTTAATACAATCATTTTATATTATAATTAAATATATATAGTTATAAATCGCATTTTTTGCAAGCTCTACATAAGGCAGCTATTGGTTGGTAAATGATAATGACATGTACAGGTACAGAGCGTATCGTTCCACCCGCTCGAAGCGCAGACTCTGGCGACGGGCGCGGCGGACGGAAGTGCGCGAGTGTACGACTGCCGCTCGGGGAGAGCACGCACGTGGCGTCTGCCGCCACAAGTAGAACGCGTCACGTGGGATAGACACAACCCCTTCTGTTTTGCTGTTAGTACTTGCTATCTTACTAGTATTACAAACGTGGAAGTTCCCGAATGTGATTGGATGTTTCTTATTATTTCACACAAAAACTACTGCATAGATTTTAATAAAACTACAACAATATATAGGCTATTAAATACGCGGGTGAATCCGCGGGCACAACTAGTCTACTATAATATAATATTTAATCATATCTCAGGGCAATTCACAAAGTGCCATATAGTCCTAAGCTAAGCAAAGTTTGTATTATGTATACTAGCGAGAGATATATCAAGAAGGCTGACCCCTCTGGTCAACTTTCTCGAGGGAAACCAGTACTGTGCTAAGCTAATTTAGCACTCAATTGGATTATACTAACAAACCATTAAAACAAGAGAAATCCAATATAGGTACTAGATTACTGATATAAATACATAGATACAGTTTTTGTAAATACATACATAATATACATAGAAAATCTATACTATAACATACTCAGAAAACAAATGTTTGTACCGTGCGACGAAGCGGTCACGCGGTCATTAGAAGTGTGGGCTAACTGAGCTGATTTCCTTTTATTAGTCTTCAGTGGTGTCCCACCAGCGTATATGTCATATACATATTTCGATGCCAAAATGAACATCTTTATTGTTATTATTATGCCCAAAACTATATTATTTTTCTCTATTTACAGTTAAGTAACGATAAAGGGAAAGTAGCTTATGTGGACTGCAGACAAGACGAACCGTTGTGGACTATAGAGGCGCATGACAACGAAGTGACAGGTTTGTTTCAAAACATATATCCTCAAAGCGAAAGGTATAATCATTTGATAGAATCAACCACATAGATTAGAATAACTGGATTTATGATTATAAAATGTCTATGGATTGTCAATTAAAAGAGAAACATAAAAATCTGTTCAGCATTGTGTTTAATATTGAATAACATACAAATTACAGTAGAAAATAACGTATTTATTTGATGGTATAATTAATATAAAGTATATACATTATATTAATTGTGCACAGGTCTCATAATCAGCGATCACGTCCCAGGTCTCCTAGTTACAGTTAGCACAGATGGAAAAATGAAAACTTGGGACATCTTAAAGTAAGTACATAATATGTATTTTTAACTTTTATTTCCGTATATCCTCACACCACCGTTAACAGATAAAACAATTGTCTTAAACCATGCAACCAAGGTTACTGACCGCATTTGTTTTGACAATACTTACAGCAAAGTAATAATTTAAAATATATTTGGCAGCCTCTCAGTTTATTCGTTCTTGTTACTCTCTGAAGCGGCTGGACCGATAACGACGGGACTTTCACTCGCAGATAGCTAATATTATAATGGGTAACTTGGCTACTTTTATTTTAAAAATATTGATTATTTTAATTCGAGGTGGATGTAGTCATATAAAGTAATAAGATTATAACAATAATTGTTTTTGTGATCTATTACGTCCATAAAATCCTTAAATAATAGTTATTCTCATATACCAAATACAAATTCAAAATATCTTTATTCATGTAGGTCTACTACAGTCTCTTATTACATGTTAAATCTACCGTCAGTTCGGAATGAGACGATGAGAAGAACTGACAAGAAACTCAGCTCGTATTCTTTTCAAATGAATGTTGTACATACATGTTTACAATATACATACCTTCCATGTACAGAGAGAGAGATTAGCTGCATTTTTATATGTTATATGTAATTATGTGTGTGACGTCAGTGGGGCGCCGACTCAGGTGAGCGAGCGGAGCGGCCGCGTGGGACAAGCGCTGTGCGCGGCGGCCTGCCCCGAGGCGCCTTTCTCGGTCGCGGTCGGCGGCGACAACAAGGAGTGCTACATCGAACTAGTCGACCTCAGCATCAGTGAACAAGGTTTTATTTTTATGTTACGATTTTAGAAAACCTGATAATAAAGGGTTACCTTGGCCTATGGGCGCCAGAAATACTACACGTGTCACGTGCACGTGACCGCCCTTTATACACTTCTTCAATACATGATTGAGTAACATGATGGACTATGAACGAAGCTCTTCAGGAGCATTTCAATCAGCCGCAAATTACTTTATAACGTAATTCGATTGGACGGACGAATTATAATTAAAGAAGTTATAACTTAACACACATTGTGCATTATCATGGTGTGCTGCGTAATTTATTTTTTTCCCATTTTTTTTTTCAGTTACAGAACGGTTCGGCTCAAGGCAACAGGTTACGATTACTACGGAAGCAAACGACGAAACTATGGATACATAGAATGTATTTAAAATATATGAATATATTATATTGTTGCCAAAGTATTGTTTTCTTTCTAAAATAATCTATGCTGTAAGTTACATTTTAGATGAAATACTGTTGAATTATAATTTATATTCAACAACAATTATCATTATGTCCCAGGGTAAACAGAACTTGTGTTATGGATACTAGGCAACTGAAATATACACATTAAACATTTTTTTGGTAAATACGTACCTAATATAAGTTAGAGCGTTAACTATAATAATACCTAATATTACAATAGTTCTTCATCTTCCTTATCCCATTTATTTGTGGTCGGCGTAATGTTTTTCTCTTCCATTCATCTCTGTTCGCAGTCATCCCGTTATTTACTCCCTTTCTCACCATATCATCTTTCACACAGTCCATCCATCTCTTTTTCGGTCTTCCTCTACCCTTATAACCATCCACATTCTAATGTAACACCGTCCTTAGGATACGATCTTCATTCCTACGCATTACATGTCCATAGCACGATAGACAATTACTCTTTAATTTCTCCAACATCGGTGCCACTTTCATACTTCCTCTGATGTATTCATTTTTTATCTTGTCTATCCTTGTCACACAACACATCCATCTCAACATTCGCATTTCAGTTGCATGCAGTCGTCTCTCATCCGTCGCCTTTATGGGCCAGCACTCTGATCCATACAAAATAGCAGGCCGGATCATGGTCTTGTAAATTTTGCCCTTAACTTTAAGCGGAACTCGTGAGTCGCACTTCGTTGCCGTAACCTGCCCCCACTTCACCCAACCAGAGTTAATTCTGTGCTTTATGGTTCGGTCTAATTCGCCATTGTTTTGGAGGAGTGAACCTAAATACTGGGAATCGGAGTTGTGTTATCAGCCTCTACTGGTGTTCTACCAGCGTAAACTACTGGTGCAGGCGGGTGTACTATTTCATTATCATAAATAAAAAAAAACAGCCTTCTTTGCCAAAGTTTTAATGTCTTACACTTAACTAAGTTGCGTACGCACGACGACGACGTGTAGGGTAGTCCGTTCTGATCAGGGAAGCAGTTGAGCAGAATGAGAGCTATACATCTCACACCCCTTTTTGAATGGGTAGTCCACTTCTACACATCAGCTGAGCAGGGTATGAGTTCGAAATACCACATACCTACCTGAAGATTATCGAGAAATCATAGTCAAATTTATCAGTCAATTGAAGACATGATTAAGGCGATGTGTTGTTTTTATTAAGATTGCAAAAGCTAAACTGGCTCATAAAGGATCATATAGTAATTTCAGAACCCTACAAGGATTTCAGTACAGGCTTGGTTCGAGTTTACAGTAAAGCTTTTTAACGAATAAATAATAACTGATGTAGGCTAGTAACAGTCATGTTGATATTATAAGTGGTTTTATTAATATTTATAACAAAAACAATATAAAAATATAAATAATATCATTCAAAGTTGTTGAACAGTAATGGACCTTATCGAGTTATTACAAGAGTCAAAATTGTTCAGCTACTTTCGTACATAACAAGCAACCACCGCCACCAATAATACCAGCACGTACCGTCGGGTCATACCAGTGTTGCCATATCATAATTTCGCGCGGGTGTCACTGAAAAATAAATTATAAATATGTAATGATTATATTCTTGTTATCCCACTGTTGGGATATCTCCCACAATTAAGTAAACAATAGATTAATATATTAATAGCCCTATTTATACTTTATTGGTATAAAAGCGATCCTAATTTTATTAGAAATCCATACCACACAACTTTTTGGAGACTATAGTTACGCAAAGTTAAGATTTCGTCAAAAGGTAACCCTTTGACATTCTCAATTAATAGTATAATAACCCTGGACAGTTCACACAGCGCCATCTAATCCCAAGCTAAGCAGACCTTATATTATGGGTACTAAACAACTGATACAAACACATATACATTTTTCTGTAAATACATACATAATATACATAGAAAATACCCAAATCAATACATCAATCATATTCTTGTATACAAATGTTTGTACCGTAATTGAACCCACGACAATCGCAAGTAAGGCGCTGTACTAAACCACTAGATCACCGAGGCCCTATATACAATATGAATATATATGGCATACATGAAATACAATATGAATATATGTTTTTCGTCAATTAACGGCATATTTATTTTTCAAATATATAACTTAGCTGTAATATAATGGAGTGGTATGATTACAATAACGGTATAAACAGATTTTATGTTATATACTTTTACAATATTATATATAATCGATTAAGGATAAATAGAACTTCTAAATAATACTCCTTAATTTAGTATTATATATGTACAACTCTTTACAGAGCCGCCAAGACAGGAGCCAAATAAATAGCTACATTATCTATAAGATAGAATAAGACAGCCATATCTGTCGTCTTGCTCTTTCTCATAAGAGCAGCCTTTGGTACAATAGAATAATCTAGACCCTCTGTAATTTCGGTCTGCAGTTCTATCATTTACAAACTGATACCATAGTAAACATAGAACTGCAGATTAATTCTATAATAGTGTTATATTAATATTATATTGATAGTATTTTATATGAATAAAACAAAACCATAAGTAACGTGAATCTATATTTGCAATCTTACTAGTAAACATAATTAAAATATTGCGTAAACAATAAAAACCATAGCACAAACCAAACGCATCTAATACTGTTGTTATTGCTTGCTCAATAGGACATAAAAATGAAAACATACTTATGATCTACAACTTTATGGTAACGCCTTTATAATGGCGACCGCAAACAAAAAACAGAAGAAAATAGCATGACATAACATTTCAAACTGTAACTACAAAACATATTCAAAGTGAGTAACATAATTTTATGTAACTTAACCAGTATATACCACACCTTTTTTTATGGTGGGCATAGATTACTAATAAAATATATAAATATATACTCTATACAAATTACCTCGCGGACTGAGTATTAACATTATTTTTCAACACATTTGCTCGTAAGTTGATCAAGCTTCGCCAGTTTTAGATATTTTATATATCTAAAACTGGCCTGGCCTGGGTTGCAGCCCATAAAACACGTGTACGTTATAAACGTAAATAGTGAAGTTATATTCCATATCCGCACTATTTGCTATTTAAATTTCGAACTAACCAGCCAGTAGGCAAAGCGCTGATTTAAAAACGGCGGGAAAGCAATAATATACATCACAGTTTTATGGTTGAGTTTATTTAAAATCAAGTGTGTTGAAAAGTGCCGTGTGATATACCTGCGTATTTAACACACTCGGCTCTATTACGCCCTCGCCTTCGGTTCAGGATGAAATTCCGCCTCGTGTGTTATAACCATCATAACGCACTTATATCGTAATATACTACAAGTTACATAAGAAATTGTACCTTTAATTTCTAGGATATTGACAACTAATATTTAAGACTTGGCCACATATAAATTTTATGTACATAAACAATTTCACAGCCTATAAATAATATAGTCTCTTCAATTTGTTTTGTATATATTAAAATATCAATTTGTGTATATGTACATAACATTTAATAATCCTAATATTGCTTATGCCGATTAGTGATATAAAAAGCTACATATATTCGACAATATCAAATTAGATTTTTACATATTACAGTTATCACGGGAAATCTATAATTTTCATATTCTTGAAGACGCTCTCTGGATTTCGGAATGTCATATATTTTCGTTACACTTGTATGTTGAAATTAATTTAACAGTACGACATTTTAAAGCGATAAATACGATCAAAAGTATCCCAACATTCCTTCGTCTATCTCAGTACATCACTCTTTGAAATGTAAGTATTTATTGAGAAATCACATGAACATTTAGGACTAAAACACACCTTGATACTCGTACGAGTTACTACTCGATACTCGTTCGAATTACTTTAAAACATACCATAGACATAGTTGTTTATTTTAGGAATGTTACATGTTTTAAAAAATAATTTTTATATTTTTATATATTCGATAATTGTAAATGAGTAGGTTTTTACTCTTACACAACTATTCGAGTATTCAAGTATAAATATAGTTGTTTCTGTTATATTACTCTATATCATACAATATAATATATTAATATATATAAATTGTATATAATGTCTTTTTTCTTATCGTGCTGCAAATTAGAGAGTAGTACATGGCAGCAAAATAGTTGATGGTGTTCAATATATCTCAATGGACCCAATAGTAATAACCCAGTACACAGACAGCGCCACCTAGTTTCAAATAAGCAAAGCTTTTTATGTGAAACATACACTGAATACCATCATTTGGATTTTAAACTACAAAAGCAACCAAAATGTTAAAAATAGTACAATGCATTTATTAATTCTTTTATATTGATTTTTTTCTTGTCTTTTTTTAATGTCGTACCAAATTATGTATATCTTTTATTTTATTATTTTCGGACTACTCCAACGCTGTTGGCCGCAGCTGCCCTTTACAGCTTCACCGGACGATAAGGCGCGAGTGCAGATGGCACTCCAAACCTGCGAAAGGACTTACGAAGCAGCTGAAGGCCAACTCCCGCCTTGTTTTTTTATATTATATATATTTGTAAAGTCGATTTTCTCTATTTCCAATATTTTGCTCCCTTGTAATACAATCTACTTTTAAACTTTCACGTTTCGTACACATCATTATTATAGTTAGTACTGTTGAGAACTAACTATATTAATAATATTCTGTTATACGCTTCGTGTTTTACATTTTATTAACGATTTATTCATTCAACACCTCCATTTAAAAGCGTTCACTGCCGAAGTAATACAACAGGACTACGTTACTACCTTCTAAAATACACTTTGCTATATTTGCACTATGTATAAAAATAGTTTCTTTTTTCTAGATTCACATAAAATATATAAGAATTTTATTTATTTATGAACTTATTATATTAATATCATACAGTAATAATATCATACAGAAATTACTTTGTACGTTCCAAACTTTTTTTTTTACTATTCATGAGTATTATTCATGAATACAAGTGCGATCATCATCAATCATGCGAGAATCGAATCCGCCACCATAGGAAGTAAGGCGGTGTTCTTAACCGCTGGACCACCGCGAGGCTCATGTATCGTAATAACGAAGTACAACATTTTAATAGTCTTTTGTTACATGGACCATTACTATTAATAATTCATAGTCATATTATATAATTCCAATGTTTTGACATTGAACTTTTATTTTTATTTTTGGTTCAGTTTTTCCCGTTTCAGGGAAAGACACAGCCTATACAGCCATTATCTTCGGTAGCAACACATGTACTTCGGTAGTAAACGCTCCTAACCCTCCAAAAGCCCAAAATCAACAATAAAACATTTCAGTAGTCTCTTGCTTCATGGACCATGCTGTAATATGCTACGTATTCGAATTTCAAAAATGACATAATTCCATTGTTTTAACATATTTCGGTAGTAAACGCATTTAACCCTCCAAAAGCCCAAAATCAACAAAGATAATTACTCATCGCCAGGGAACTTGGTGACTGCGTCGTGGAAGGCCTTCGCGACGTATTGAATGTTGCCAGGGTTCAGCCCGCAGATGTTGATGCGGCCGGACTTAAGCAGGTAGATGTGGTATTCCTGCACTAGGTACTCCACCTGGCGCGGCGTGAGCCCCGTGTATGAGAACAGCCCGATTTGTTTCACTATATGGTCCCAGGAGCCGGGCGTGCCGAGTCTGTGGAGCGTTGAAACCATTTTACATTTACGAATTACTTTAAAATAATAATAACCCTGGACAATTTACACAGCGTCATCTAGTTCCAAGCTAAGCAGAGCTTGTATTATGGGTACTAGACATTTTATATAAATATTTAAATGCATTTTGTATAATTTGTATGAAAGTATGTATTTTTAACTCGATTAATTCCCAATATTAGTAGTAATAGAGTATTTAAATAAATAAAACAAAACTTACTTAATAAGCTCCGCTCTTAACGCTTCCCTCATTTGAATGACTCTGGAAGACATCAGTTTGATATGTTCCCTCCTGTGAAATTATTTACAAATAATAACAATAAGTCACGACAATTCACATAGTGCCATCTAGTACTAAACAAAGTAGAACTAGTAATAAACAACATATAAGAAATATTTAAATATATTCTTTGTAAATACATAGAAAATAAATGTATTATTATTATTATTATCGGACGGCCGATATTATTATTATTATCGGTAGTGATAGGTGAGTGGTAGAGTTACTTACCATTGGTCAAAGAGCTGCGGGTTGGAGAGTACGTTGGCGACGACGCGCGCGCCGTGTGCGGGCGGGTTGGAGTACATCCCGCGCACGATCCACGTGAGCTGCGACTTGACGGCCGCCGCCAGCGACGCGTCCGACATCACCACCGCCAGGTTGCCCACGCGCTCACCTGTGTATATTTTTAATAAATAATGGTGCAAGTGGATGCACAGATTGTTCTAATAGTATACGCTCGCGGGTCAGTAAAGGATTATATGATAAGCTCACGATCAGGGGCGGATCGTAAATTTGTGGGACCCTGGGATAATTCTACTTAGGGGAATACCTAATTATATTACTCAACTAAAAAAATACACCGACCAACAACAAGCGACCAGAAATTCCCCGTTCCATACGATAGACGCGCACTTGCTTGGGTCGATTGATCTCAGGATTGCCAACCATATGATATGGTATAGGAGTTATAACATTCTAAATATTTTTTTATATTCTAAATATCGTTTCAGTGGAGACTGGGGGCCCTGGGCTGCAGCCCAAAAAACCCTTAGATCCGCCCACGCCCACGATGTGCTAATTGGTCAGGCCAGTTAGTCCTTCGGAACTAATTGTCCTGGAGTCATTACTCCAGGATAATTAGCTAGTACATCTACTAGCTATATTACCGTAAAGTTTCATCAAAATTCGATCAGTAGTTTTTGCGTGAAGGAGTAACAACCATCCAACCATACTCACAAACTTTCCGAGTTTATAATATAACTTATTAAAATTAGAGGAGTTTGGGAACCGAATGTTAAAAAATATAATTATCAACATTTGCTTTCCAAATATTTCCATACCTAATGATTTCTAAGAGCAATCAGCACCCATAAGAATATTATGAGATGTACAGAATACTAACTGTAAAGTCCGAAGTTCTTAGCATATGACTGTGCGCAGACAAGCTCGAACCCGCGCTTCACGAAGTAGCGCACCGCCCACGCGTCACGGTCGAGATCACCTGACGCGAATCCCTGGTACGCGCTGTCAAAGAACGGGAACAACTTGCGCTCCTACAATGAAATATAGGAACGGTTAATAATACTACTATAGTCTTAAAAATTAAAATTTTGCAAAATAAACTTTATATTTTCGATCGATATAAGTCGATCTCACATATTTTGTAATGTTTGAGTTAATACAGTTTATTAGTATAGTATTAAGCATATATATATCATGTTCAATTTGTTTAGCCTAATTTAAAATGGTAGTCTACCATTTAAAAATGGTCTATATTTCGTATTTCTATAGCACATTGCTGGCATCTTAGTAATGAAAATTAATTTTGAATAACTGCTGATTCCATATAAAGTGGGATAATACAAACAAGAAATTGAATAACTACGGCAAGTTAGTTCTCAAAATATATTATTTTTACCGGAAAGTAACATTTGATAAAATGCAGAGCAATATTTTGCAAATTCCAGTTAATCCAAATATTTTTTTAGAAAGAAAACGGTCAAGGTGTATAGTCATCAATTTGTGACGTCGTGTACAATGTGTAATAATTGATTTCATTCTACACCCATTAAAAAAAAATTCGCAAATCACTTATATCATATTCGACGTAATCTGTTTAACTATTGTTGTTTTTAATTTATATTTATACAATTTAATACCTATTTGTCTGTTATGAATACCAACATATGGTCGACCTTGAAAGTACACTTGTACACTAAACACTTGTATAAATATAGCAATACAATCTATATTAGTTTTTATACTGTAAGATGTTGTATATCAGCTAATTTGTATGTATAGGTAGCTAGATGCAATTTTGAAGTATTTGAATTTGGTATGAAATATACTAATGTATATAAATGACGATGAATAAAAAATAAGAGCATAAATTTAGAGCAATTTCATTCCTTCAGACATGTGTTCTGAAAATTAAAATCTCAGCTAAAAAAATAATTAATCGTACAGGTGGTTTTACTAGGTGGTCAAGGTGATCAAATCAAATCAAAATATCTTTTTAAATGTACATATATCTATTATATTCGTATGATATGCCAAATCTATCGACAGTTCGGAGTGGTTTCGTATTTCTATTTATCGTATTTATTAGAAGATTCTTTCAGTATTTGCAGTTATAAGTATCTTCATACTTCACCAGGAGAGTCGTAAATTTATATTAAAAAAAAACAAAAGGTTTTATACGAGGCTAATAAAAAAATATATAAAATGCATGATTTGATATTCATGGTAGTTCTGTTATGTCCGAAAGACTATCTGAAATAATAGTAAAAAAAAAATGGACTAATTGACCGAAAGTGCTCTATTTGAATTTTGACTTAATGTCACCTGCATAACATCGGCGATCTTCTCCCATTGCTCCTGCGTTGGGTCGATGCCGGTGGGGTTATGCGCACACGCGTGGAGTAAAATGACCGCGTTCTCGGGTGCATTCCTCAGGTCTTCAATGAGGCCGTCGAAGTCGATGGCACGCGTTTTCGCGTTCCAGTAGCGGTACGTGCGAGGAGTCGTGAAGCCGGAGTTGATGAATACTAAATGGTGATTCTCTGAAATAAAAAAAATACAATAATTAGCTGTTACAGAATTTTTAAACTACAGGTCAATCCCCAGGGAGGGACTTTACATTCTATGACACGAGGAGGGGGAGGGGGTTTGTTTGGAGACGGGGGAAAGGGTAGTGATGTAAAGAACATAATATTATTATTTGTAGGTTCATCACTACAATGAACTAATAAAATAATCTAATACAATTTCTAGGCAAAACAAAATCGTTCTTGTGATGACAGATAGACAGCTGTCCGATTGAGTGGTAGATAAAAAAATGTGATAACTATTAAAAAGTGCTTCAATGTAAGTTTATTTGAATAAATAATAAATAATTTTCTATTCTATTCTATTTTATATGAATATAATAAATATGAATTAATTATAGCACAACCAATAGAGATATTCACGGGTTACTACTTATGTTGTCTTACTGTTATTATATTTATTTATTTACTGGTTTATAACTAATAAGTCTAATAGGGTTTTCTTACATTAAAATCAAATATATCTCATTTTTAAAATACATACCAATTTCATTTTACTTTTGTTAATGTCCAATTTTTACGTTTACTATATTTAAAGGGCAGATAGCAGAGCGGGTGGACTTAGAGTCCCCTCTGAGTTGTAGACAGTTTTGTATCGATTTATGCCTCCTAATGTAATGTAATAAACAGACAAATAATGATGATGATTATTATGTACGGATAAAAAAATATAGATCCCTTACAATTACGCCCGAGCGAAGGAATCGCTTGTGAATAAACTCACCCCACGTCGGACTGGAATAATAGAATGTGGTGTGCTTGAGATGTTTGTTGAGGAGCTCAGCACCGACTCTCAGACCGCCCGTACCGGAGAGTACTTGGACTCCGAATGTCTGCAAATTATGGTCACAGATTTTACCAACTGCCAAAAGAAAGATGGTTGGGGAAGGGGGGTTGTTAGTAAGGGGAACTAGGAATCCCCATTGCTAGCAATGGTGCCATGTTATGTCAACCTCCACGCGGTTCCTCCTGGAAACTATTACTATTAGTTTTTAAATATGACCTATTAACAGTAGTCGGATTACTTCTAAATTGCTATTATATAGAAAAACTTACGCGTCCAGCTGCTATCGCGGGATTGTCCTTGCCGAGCAGCATTGCCACCGACGCATTGGTGAACTGCTCCAGTCCTGAATAATATAATATATATTTTAGCAATAATATCCTCGGAAGAAGAAGGCCAAGGTAAGAAGATACCCTCTGCCAAATTAATTTCAAATATACCAAGAATATGAGCATGTCAAGTGTTGAAAAGATCCAGAGAAATCTTATTAATTTATCTGTTAATTGGACATACTGCCACAATTTTATTTATTTTGTATAATGTTTTTTGTCATGTAAAAGTCTGTAGTCATAAGATGTATTAGCTGTCATGTTAGAGTATCCAATAAGTAGTGTAATTATTACACTAAGTATCATACTGTAGATTAATTTGACTTGTCATAAGTGTCTGTGATACACCTACATGAATAAAGCTATTTTTTGATTTGATTTGATTTGACGGTAAAAACATTTGTATACTTGAGTACCTATAATTGTTTGTATCGATCTGAGTGTTTTCTCTGTATGATAGGTATTTACAAAAAAATGAATCACTGTATTTGCATCAGTTGTCTGGTACCCTTAGCTTTAGCTAACTTAGCTTTGAACCAGATGATGCTGTGTGAATTATCCTGACAGATAAAAGCAAGGATTTATTTTATCGAATTATGTGTTATTTTGCGGAAGTCCATTTCATTATTAATGGATTCATATTATTTGTTTGGTGCAGTTTGGTCGCTAAACCGTCAACACTAGGCTCCCTCCCTAGCTTCCAAACTTTATTAAATGCCTGATGATGTCTCATTCAGAAGCGAAACACGTGTAGCAATATGGGAGTAGACTCAATAACAGTCGGAATTGGATCACCAGTAGAGAAGGTCGTAACGCTACCTAGCGTGGCAGCGGTGGTCCAGTCTGCACTGAATATTTGTGGTTTGACACGTCACATATTAATAGTAGCGGAATTAAACAATCCCATCAAACACATAAATGTGAAATGATAGCCAAGTTCAATATTATGACATATGCCGTGATTGTTTACTTCAACAAGAAGAAATGAGATCTAAATGGATGTCAAGTTCAATGGTCAGTTCTGAAATTTATTTATAACAATATAAAATATAATTTCTTCTTATAACTTAGGATAATATATTGTAGCCTAAGGTCAGTCTGTTTGAGAAGTTTGGAACACATATTTATCAATATATGATAATATATGAACCAATATATGAATCAAATTATACACGTTTATGTGAAAGAGTTTTTAAGTTATGGTCAAGGGGGTCCAAAGTTGCTCCAAATGGTTCGTGTAATATTTCCTCTAACACACGGTTCGTTCTCTTACTTGAACTTGGCACGCTTGACAAGCTGCAGAGTGCCTAGAATATATATAAATCCATTAAGCAATAAGGACGGAGTATCAACACATATTGCGATCTTTTTCATAATCATAAAACGTAAATTGGCCGTTATGTACTGACGTTATTTGGACTGAGGATTTTTGTCAATAAGCTTCTGTCAACAATATTATCTTAAGTTCAAGCCATCTAGGTCAAAAGTCATCACTTTATATAGTTTCGTAATAGTAGCTATTTATATAAATATCATACTGTAAACTTGGCGTGACCTTAAGTAATTACAGCGAGCTCATGCAGAATTAAACTAATATTATACAGCTAAAGAGTTTGTTTGTTTGAACGCTAAATCTCTGTCTAGTAACATATGTATATAATTTTCGCAGGAGAGGAGCATCATTCCACATACGTAACAAAAAAAAAACATTATTTAAAAAAGCTCTGATGTTTAAATTTTAACTATGTCGTGACGATATACATATATTTATATTCTATTATTAAAAACCCAATATTTAAATAATATATAAATGCTTTCGTTACTGTCAGCTGTGATTGTTTGATATTTTATCTGATAAAATACGACTATGGACTTGGCACCTCTTTTAAACATTAGTAATAAAATTTCTTAATCGAACACTACAGATATAAACCTAATTATGTACATATGTAGGTAAGTACAGCGTGTTTGTTTTGTCTGATAAGATTATTCAATTCTTTTAATTTGATTAAACTGCATTGTGTTCTAATTAAATATTATAAATAATAACGTCTTCAGACCACGAAAACATCGACAACAATCGTATTCTTATAGATAACTCGAAAACGGATGGTCGGATTTTTACCAAATTTGTACGGAGACTGCCGAATCATCAAAATCAATTTACGTAGAAAAAGGGTCTAGTCTTTGGTAACATACATAGAAAAGAAAACACAGGAAGCAACCATATATATAGTTTTTTAAGTGAGTTAAAAAGAGGATTAGGAAGGCCTGAGCTGTTTCGAACCCCTAGCGGTGCCCTCAGACTAAAGTCGTATAAGTCAGGTGGTAGTTGGTCTTCAACCGCTCCTTCCGCGGGTATGGAGTGCCATCTGCACTCGCCCCCTATCTTGAAGTTGTAAAGGCCATCTGCGGCCCACAGCATAAGGCTACAAATTTCATGCGGGTGAAACCGCGGGCAAAGCCAGTGAGCAATAAATTGGAACCAATTTTTTTACTTGTCTAGGAACTAATACTATACAGATATCATGATTACCTTTAAGAATTTTTTATATCTAAAATAAATTTTTTCAGTTACCTACTTAGGAACTATCAGCCCGTGATAAATTGATAAACACATTATACAAAACATTCGTATATAGTATAATAATAGATATATACATACATTGGATGAATTTTAAAATAAACCTAGTTAGGTCTCCTAATTTAAACCTAATTAAAATCCATCCGATGTAATCAATGAAACCTTAATAATTACAATTTACTAGAGATTCAGAAGAGAGAATTTCATACAAAACTAGAAATATATGCAATATGCGTGGTATAGGAAGAAAATTATGCTCGAGAATTGGGATAACGGTCTTTCTGTACGGCTAGAAATAATTTTAATGGTAGATCATAGTATGTTGGATACGATTACCACCACCTGGCGGACATCAGCCCTGTGCACCAAAGGTACTTATATTTATAAACGTATAAAAAAACTGGGCGATGTAAGCTTGGAATTTTAATACATAGTAATATACTTTTTTTAATGGATGTCAATAGAACGTTTACAATAATTTTGTTGTGCAAAATAATGTCATAAAACCCACAATGCCATATTTTATATACGATATCTTAACGTATTTTTTATCAACAAAATAAAATAAGTCACGTATCCTATTGATATAGAGATACTTGAATACATGTCAAGTATTTTATAGTGATGACAAGCGCTTTGTAAATGACTGAATTCTCCTTGGCATTCAAGTTCAAGGGTATATAGTTTTAGATCAGTCTAACGCTGTCTTTGACCTTTAATGTGCAATCGTTTGAACAGTTTGAAAGCTGCAGTGGCGGATCGTTAATTCGTGGGGCCCTGGGATAAATCTACTTAGAGGCCTACCTGATTATATTACTCAACTAAAAAAATATACCGACCAAAAACAAGCGACTAGAAATTCCCCGTTCCATTTGATAGACGCGCACTTGCATGGGTTGATTGATCTCATGGTTGCCAACCTTATGGTATGGTATAGGTTTTATAACATTCTAGATATTTTTTATATTCTAAATATCGTTTCAGTGGGGACTGGGAGCCCTTTGTATCCTCAGGCTCGGGCTGCAGCCCAAAAAAGTCCTTAGGCAGATCCGCCCCTGGAGAGCTGAGTCATTGTTGGCAAACTTTTTATTTATGTTTTTAATCCCTAGCTTAGATTTTAGACTCTTAGTAAGTTTTATTGACCTATAGTTTAAATGTGCAATCTTTAGAACAGTTTATGAGGTAGGTCATAGTTTTTTTAGCAAATAAAAAAAATTTCAATCTTTTCGTTTAGAAAAATTCGTTTTAGAAACCCGTCCCAAAAAGCTTTCAACCCAGTTACCCGGGGGTTGTTGCCAATATCGTCTTTACCATAAGTGCACACGGGGCCCGTATCCAGGGCCTCCGTTCTCAAAGGGCCCCCAAAGGACTGACAATTTTTCTCACACATTTATTCTCAAAAGATTGTTTTCACCTTTTCTTATACCTAATGAGCTTTTTTTTTACTTTCAAAAAGGCTCCCGTGTTTCCAAATGGTGCAGAAGATGAGTGTCAGTGTCATTGATCTTTAATGTGCAATCGTTAGAACAGTTTGAAAGCTAATTCATTGTTGGCTGCGCGACTGTGAAATTGCGGTGTTAGTACCGCAACTAATTGGAACAGCGTTAATAACTCAATGACACTGAACATATTTTTCATAATAGAGATAGGTACACAAATTAATTAAGTTTTTACTACACTTTAATAGATCGAATCTAACCATTGTACGGCATTATTAACATTTAACATGCAACCGTTTGTAATCAGTGTAATTTAAAATGTAACGGATCACACGAGATTCACGATGAGACTCCAGAATGGTCAGTGAACTTCGGTGTTATTACCGCAATAGATTGGAACATATGCGTTGTCTTCTCTAGTATATAATATCTCAATTATTCTAAATATATTTGTCGTAGTAGTTACGTACAGAAATTAATGAAAAGTTCATTCCATTTGATTGATCACTATACTGTAGAGATATCATTGTTTTATTAAAGTACCGGAAATACCAACAAATTTCATAATATATTGAAAGTAAGTTTATAGATATAAACCATATTATGGATACCATAATATACTTAATTATTTTTGTATTTATTTCAAGTCATAATTCATTTTAATATTATTTATTTATTGTACCATATTGTCTGTTGACTGACCCGCGTAATTTCGTCTGCATCATACTTACTTGACATTTATTATTATATTTCGCCCAATTTACATAATATCTTTTTTTAGCCCATATGTTATTCTGACCTATAAGCTTCATCAAAATCCGTTCAGTAGATTCTACGTGAAAGAGTAAAAAACATGCATACATACTCAACTTTCGCATTTGTAATATTAATAATCTTACAGTCTAATATCTATTTAAAATAATTATAAGAAAATAATTATGGCATTACGGCAGCGAGGGAATTTTTAATAAGGGGGCCAATGGACCCCATTGCTAGCAATGTATTCTATCATATATTCCCTCCTGGGGACCACTGTGGATAATTACTGAATAATTTGTTACAACAAGCCACCTGACCTGAGTTCTTGTTAATCCTACACTGATCCCGTCACGCCAGGGTTAAACGCTTAGTTTACGCGGGAGTAACATATCCTGTTCATTAACAGCTCTAGCTGAGTAACATCACATTCATTCATTAAAAATAAAATATGTTGGCATCTTTTCAATCCATTTATTCAAAAATAGCACTCTTGTGTTGGTCTTTAATTACTGTTAGTTTTTTTTTTTAATAAATTTGTTTTTTACTTCAATAGTACATTAATAGTATGTACTACTAACATAGTAGATATTGTGTTTGCTTATGATTATTGGTACTGTGTTTATTACATTACTAAATGTTCTAATTGAACACTAATTAGACCAATTAGCCAGGAATGCTTTCATAATTGAGTTGTCAAGGTAATACTAAATTGTGTTGACAGAGAGAAATTACAAATATATATTAAGAGAGTTCAGTATGACCAAGGGGATTACTATCACATTCCCAACCAGTTAAATAAAAACATGGGTCTTAAATAACATGTATGTTTTTGTGAAAGTGAAATATGTTATAGCTTTAAAACAATTCTGATTGGATTTTTATGTTTCTTTTTAGGATTAATATCTTCATTCTTTGTAAATTTGTCCACATGACCATTCTGTGAAGGTACGTCATCTCTTTATTCTATGGTACACCAGTTAAGTTGTTACAGCTCTTCATAAACTATATATAACAATTTTATAGACAACAAATCCTCATGATGTTTACACCTATATTACATAATTTATCTGCATTAAAAAATACATTCAAATGCTCTCATAAATGATCAGTCTTGATCATTTTATGTAAAATGAAGCTTTATAACAACAATGCATTTACATTAACTTTCGAATCATATAAATATCCCAACTTAAGTCATATCTCATGCGTAGTAACACACCCTCATTTATGCTGCAACAGATTCCCCCTGTTTTGCTATGTATATGATAAAAACTCACCTAAAACCGGCAAATACTCATGCAAAAGAGTGTCATCAGCCGCCAGCTGCTTCTCCATTTTGCGTACAACGGGAAGGACCCATGGTTTTCCATTCTCATCTCTATAAGCTATAAAAAGAGATAAATACAGTTTTTAAGTTCTCTTTTTAAACGAATACTATTTGTCTTTAAATATGCTGTAATTTGTTATTACAAATGTATGTTGAAAATCTTATCAGATATGCTTAGATTATGCTTTATTTTGTATTTCAAATTCAATATATATTCAATAATTTTTGATATAACATAATTGTGACTAAAGCTACTAAATATAAAACAAATATAAGCAAATGTACATATATATAACATAGTAGAAATAAGTTTCAATTAAATTTAATTATGACCTGGCCAAAGATAAGTACCAGTAAATTATTATATTTTTTAATCTGCCACATTTGGAGTACAAGTTAAATACAAGAAGTATATAATGTAATCTAATGTATACTCTAATAACTGCCACTATTTAAATCTTAAAAGATAAATTTCTTAAAATACTCCACATTATTGAATGATTGTAGTACAGTGACAAATTGACAATGTATATACTAATCTATACTAATATAACAAACTCAAAAGAATGTCTGTTTTTTTTTGGTTTGTGAACCTATTTTAATGAAACTCAATATGAAGTTAGATTGTACTATGTTGATGTATGTACATAAGCTTTATATTATCCCAAAATTGCTGGAAAAAGCTAGTATGAACTATAAATAGATACAAAAAAAAGGTACTATATAATTTGATACTTTAAAAAAGTTTAGTTCACTGAAGTTTATGACAACCCTACTTGTGACCTTGAAAGGTTAAAGGAAAGTAGAGTTTATGACTATACAAAATTTTTTATATCAATAAAAACCAAGTCCAGATAATAAAAACAATTCGTTTTAATTTTATAAATATGTTACATATGTATAATTTAAATAAGTTACTTAAATTTAAAATAAATTTTAATAAAAAACATATTATTAGCTTAGACGTTGAATATGTAAGTAAAAATATTATAAGAAGTTAAAAAAAAAATTAAACTTACCACCAACAGAAAAATTCACTTTATTCTTATGTGAATCTTCAGTAAAAAGTCTATTTAATTGGAAAACTTCTATCGGCGGCCCCTGTTGAACAACTTGAAATCGCGAACCCATTTTCTAGTAAGGTTACAACTCGAATGTTCAGTCTATGCAGTCACCGTAAAATAATAACAATTACAAATATTACTTTATTAATATTAATACAATATTATACTTTATAGCCAAACTTTTAAAGCAAAGAGACCAACTAAACGTACAAGTTGAATTGACAATGTGATTTGTTCGTTGACTTTAGACGAATGATAATAGCTGATAATTACGATAAAGTCAATCACAGATGAGACTATGACGTCAACTGTCAAATAACAATTTTGTATCTGCACAGATCAAATTTACCATTTTTTTAGTTTCCTTCCGATGTTCTTCCGATATGTAACCTTGTAAAACTAAATATGTTTTTCAGTTCCTAAGTTTTGTTGTTACCTATGATTCTGACAATTTTCATAATGGGCGCGTATTTATTTAACATGCTTAGAGTTTGACAAAGTGTATTTCTCTTTCTACTTTAAATATCAAAATAATAGCAGTATTTTTAAAACATTAAATATTATAGTATTTACACCTTGTTATTACAATTATAGTACCTAATTAAAGACAAAAGCTTTTTCTCAACTTATTTGAGTCTTATCATTTTATTTCGGTGAACTGACAATATAGACATCTTAAATAGTTTTTGCCTGAAAAAGCAAGCAATATCCATTCATCCAAAGTATATTAGTAGGACTATTGTTATTACTAAACTAGTAGGCACTATATTTGTTATTCGTTAATGTGTTCTGTTGATATTTTTGTGACTGTATAGGAATTATTCGACAGAGTTGCGAAATTTAGATTGGAATCTATAATTTATAACCAATAATCAGTTACTAGTTTAAAATGTGAATAAGTGAAATACTGTTATATATAAGAACATCCCACTGCACTTCATAGACCCTGAGCTGTACACTTTTTTTTATGGATGATAATGGAATGGTGCACCCGCCTGCGCTAACGGTTTACGCTGGCGGGGCACCAGTAGAGGATGCTAAGATGAGCATGAGGTCCAGGTCAGTTAGCCCATCGTGACAAATTCGACCACTGCGTGGAGGTCAACCTGACATGGTACATTGCTAGCAATAAGATCATAAGTTCACATTACTAACTATCCCCCCCCCCCCCCCCCCAAAGCTGTACACTTATAAACATTATAATAACAAGCAAATTAAATTCGAAATTAACCAAAAGACCTCTTCTTGTAAATTTTGTTTGTTATGGGATAAAAGGTTTAATAAAAGAGGAAATCACATTTCTTAATATAAAATGAGTTTTATGTTATTTAAAAAATTAACATTTATACTGAGTATAGACTGGGTTTTTAAACCGGCATGCTCTAGGATCATTGGGACGTACAATCGTGTAGATCGACTTATACTCTTTGTTATCTCCATCATTTTCTCTATACCTTCGGCATCCAATAATGGCTAAACCCATTCCTACGAGAGCTACGCCTGTAGCTCCCACTATTTCTGGAATTTCCCAACAAGCCTTCCGAAACAGTCCAATTAATGTATTTGCAAATCTAATTTGATGACCGATTTCTTTGGGTTCGGGTGTCATTCTACCTTTGGTATAATTTATATATAATATATTCCTTATTCCAATTGAAATGAGATTGCAACGTCGACAGGTAGTTCTTATTAAAAACACTAACAACAACGAGGAAATATACACTACTTTTACTATGGATGAAGTAATACTGGCGATATTTTTTTTTATATTGTGCGAACTTGCCAGTGTGACGTACCAGTCTTTTTTGTCGATAAACATTTGTTTTACGTATATGGTTACAAATTTACAATTTTAAACATTAAACATTTGAAGTGGCTGTATCTCTTTATAGTTGTACGTACTCTATGTACTAGAAAACTAATCAAATTGTCAATGTCAATTAGACATTTTGACAACAGAGTAAACTTTTGTATTCGACATTTGGTTATAATTTTATAAAAAATTTGTCATTTGAAATTGTAGTTTAAATTGAAATATTTCACTTGCAGCTGTACTGATTAATTAGTACAAATTATCAGTTAGCAATGGCTGCACCAGTGTCAAGACGAACAATCGGCCAACTTCTCAAACAGGGATGGAACGAGATCCCTGAAATTATTGCTTCCACGGGCCTCGCTCTTGTCGGTGCTGGTTTGGCGACGATAGGATGTTACAATTACACAAAGAACGATGGTGACAATAAAAGATACAAGATGACCTACGTCGTAATGAGGCCGGATGACCCGAGAGTGCAAAAAATTCGAAAGGACTAAATTACATTCGTGTTTCAATGTTAGTAAATCACTAGTGTATTATGTAATAAAACTTGCTGTTGTTAATATCAGTTTGTTTTTGCTTGGTTTATTTAATTAAGTCAATACAGGATGGTACATACATATATGGTATATATTAACTAAAATCTTGTCGACAAATAGCATTAGTAAAAAATAATAGCATATTAAGATTATGAAGCTAAATTGTGTAAATAAATATTATGGGACACCGATAATTTATTACGGAACTCCTTTTAATCCTAACCATTATTTTGCCCTGATATAGTAGAGGTAGTTATCTATATAATTTTTACAGGACTGACTTACTAAATTTAGTTACAAACATTTAGGAAGTTTAGTAGAGTTAAGAGATTACTAATTATAACTAAATCATATACATTTAGAAACAAATATATGACCATAATTTGCCTGATACATTAGGTTGTATGGGGACTCCAATTGGGTTAAATATTGTTTAAAACGGTTTAATGTCTTTTGTATTCATACAGTTACTAAAATAAGTGTCTGTTTGTAATATTGAAATAACCGTTTTTTACTACATGCATATGAATATAAATATACATATGCCAAAATATTTTTTTTTCACAATATTCATCTGCCTGTCTGTTTGTTCTGGCAATCTTAGAAATGGCTGGATTTATTTTGACTGGAGTTTTATTGGTAGGTATCTGATGTACTAAGGGATAATTTAGGCTACTTTTATTTTAGAAAAAGAAAGTTGAATTCCATGCGGATGAAGTCGCAGGTACAGCTAGTTTAAAAATAAAACTCCTTATGGTATCCATTTTTTTTAAGTAATACCCATAATTGTTTTCACAGCATTATCAATGGAAAATATAAAACATGCACATTATTTCTTCTTTTTCTTGCTGGTACTGGGTTTATCCTTGGCAGCACTTGATTTTTCTTTACTTGAACTTGGTTTTTCTTTTTTACCTTTTTCTGGCTCTTTTGTTTTCTTTTTCTGTAAAAACAGTTTTAATGATTTCTTAAATTATGATATATTCTTATGAGCCTGATGTGTCATAGATTAAATATGCATGACCTATGAATATTATTTTCTGCAGATAAATAATGAACCATAGTGGAGCACTGTCACTAAGCTTAAACAATATGAGTATACAAAACAACACTTTTTTATGATCTCAAACCCACAGGCACCATCCTCAACCACCACTCGTCGACGTCAAACGTTGCATCGATGACGCGACATATATGAGCACCAATAAAAAGAGTGGATACTCCACCCCTATGAGAGGAGGTCACAGTTTCATTTGAAAATACTCTTCCTAACATCACTAACACTTCATTTGAAAACACAAATTAACAATGATCATGCTGATTATAGTCAGAATGGTCATTGCAAATTTTTATAGAGGTGTATCTATGAAATTTGTATATATATTAAAATATGCATATATTTAAAAAAAAACCCAATGACCCAGCCCCAAAATCTAAATTGCCACCTAAGGCCAGTAAAAAAATACATGCCTTCCACCCCTAGCTCAGAGGTTGGGTAAAAAAACATAAACTTACTTTGATGGAAAAATATTACTCTATGTTCTTTTATCCTAAAAACTTATTCTTATATAATTAAGGTATGTAATAAACTCAAATTAATATTGAAAACAGAATAAATATGTATTTAAAAAAAAGCCTATAAATCTGCTTAAGCCACTTGGGAGCTTTATCATAAGTATATATTATATATATATATAGATTATATATTTTTTTCGTGTCCTTCCGATCGATCCCTGTTAAATTCAAATGGGGTGTGATATTAGGACGGGCTGAGCCAAGGTTCAAATCCATAGCATTGTCCTGAGAGTATAGTAGTCGAGCAGGAGTTGTCCTTCTGCTGCTCCATAAGTCCTTCTGCAAGGTTTGGAGTGCCATCTGAACTCGCCCCCTATCGTCTAGTAAAGTTGTAAAGGCCAGCTGCAGCCATCAACATTAGAGTAGTCTAAAAAAAAAACGTTTTTTTATATCACACCTTGATTAGAGCATCATTCTCGGGATCGCTATCTTCAGCCTCGTCCTCAGGCTGGCCGTCATCACCATCTTCGTCTTCACGAATTCGGCCACGCTTGATACTGCCCGGCGCGTACGGTAGAGCTGTTGCTTTCTTGTTGTAGGTCCGTGTCATTGCCGCTTTCACCTTCATTATTATTATTACATAGTATAAAATAAAGTCGCTGTCTATCCCTATGTATGCTTACATCTTAAAAATTACGCAACGGATTTTGAAGCGTGTTTATTTAATAGATGGAGGGATTCTAGAAGAAGGTCTATATATATATAATACATATAGTACACCCGGGCGAAGAAGAGGTGAGTAGCTAGCTTGAAATAAAAGGCACTAATAATAGATGTAACAAGTTGACTGAAATGTTTAGCACTTCTTTTGTACTGTACATTTTTCCTCCTAGTCTGATGACATCTTGGTGTTCAAAAGGACTGCTGACACATGTATGTATACTGAGTCACATACAAACACTGTATTTAGTAGTAATAATAAAATTATTTTATTTTTCTATTGGACTTTCAGAGATTTCTAATGCTGTTTTATTAATTTTCTACTGGGGTTTCATCCTGTGATAACCCAGTAAATTACACAATTATCTTAAATTCAATTGTATATCAAATCTTCTCTTTCTGTACATATTATTAATGCTAAAATAATGATTAATCCATACCTTAGGATCTATTAAAACCATAGGATCCCTCTGTCCGGGCCACAGCGAGAGTTCCGTCAAAGAATCGAGATCTTCCCTAAGTAGATGATACGACTCTAGCACCTCTAGCGACTTGTCTATGCCGTCGTTTTTCTCTTTGAGGAGGGGAGTGACCACAGCATCACGTAGGTGCGTACAGTAGTCGAGGAAGATAGACGATTTTGAACCGGATGTGCTGGGGAATAAGATTGAATATTTAATTGTATTCAAGTTGCTTCTTATATTAATCTGATTTCTTATTATAGTAATAACCTAATCTATAACAATTCACACAGCACCATATACACCCAATCTAAGCAAAGCTTGTGTTATGGGTACTAGACAACTGATAGAATACATACATAATATTACATAAAAAACACCCAGACCAATACAAATAATCATACTCATGGATACAAATTTTTGTACCGTGCGAGGAATCGAACCCACGACCATTAGAAATAAGGTGTACTAAAACGCTACTAACCACAGAGGCCGTGAAGTAATAATACACATAAGATAAAGATAAATAAGCCTGTATTTAAAAAAAATGTATTGAAAAGTACCGAAATAAAGGCTTCTTTAATAATACACATAGTAATAGGTATATGGCCAATAATAATAATAGGATTATCACAGTTGCCTCATTCCGTGCTACATTGCACACTCAAAGTAGCTTTTGCAAAATTTGAGTTAATATATTTTATTCTTAACCATTGTATATATTCCGAACTCCATGTTACCTGAGCCTCGTGTGAGCGTGTATCTCCTGGCAGAGGCGGTGCATTTTGGTAGCGCGCGAGTTCTTCCCGAGCCAGCCGGGGAACTGTATCTGGCCGGCCACATGGCCCGCCAGTGCATAGCCAGGGATCACGGAGCTGTACATCGCCTGCAGCCAAAGTATGCGGGATTAGTATGTTCTTTATTGTACAGATAATACAATAATATTATAATTTAGAGATGTCAGTAAAGGTTGACTTATGCCTAGAAGAGATCTCTTCCAGTCAACCTAAAACAGTGGCATAGGTGGTACTGAGTGGGTAATCTGGTGCAAAAAAAATGTTAAACGCTACTAAACAAAATACAAATAACAAATTGTATAATCTAATAGAAAAGTAATATACATAATTAATTAATAATAATAAAAAAAAAAAAATAATAAGATATTTTATAAAATACTTTTTTATGTGCAGAGTGTGATTCTTATTAGAACGATCTTCTCATCAGATGGTGCAGATTAGTCATCCGGTTCCAGTAACCTACGCCTTTTAAAGTGACGGATGTTGTAGGAGACTATAAGTTGTTTTGCTAGCAAATTGGGATTACTAGCCGTAACTTATATTTGGAGCAACGGTGCTTTATCTCTTCGGCTACTGTTTGTATTGAGATACTCATGAAACCTCAGATATTTCTGCAAACCAGGGCGCATTTATAAGCTGTTTTAAGATGTTATTTTGACCCCTTTGTATAAGGCTTGTTGGAGTTTGCAGCTGAAGCCTTATAATTTTATAAAATAGAACAAGTTTTAATAATAACTCATTATTCCGTATTGAAATACCTTGAGATCCTATAGGTACTATAAACGCCATCTAGTAACATTTGTGAGAATTAAATTTACCTTACAGTTCTAACAGTATAAAGGAAAAAAAAGGAAGCTCGTAAGTATTTAGAATAGGCTGTCTTACTGCAATAAGTAATCTCTTACAGACTCTTCATAATGAATGATTTGGATGTCCGCAATCGACCAATGAAAAAAAATCTTGAATGGAAACTGTGATTTATTGAGTAGGTCGCTATAAATCTAGACACGCGGCAGCGTTTCAAGCCGAGTTTCAAGTAAACTGGCTTGCAGCACCGTGTGTATATTTACACGAACCATTTGGAGCCACTTTTGACCCCCTCATAACTCAAAAACTCTATCACACAAACCTGTCAAATTTGGTTCATATATTGAGACTTGCGAAATAAATATGTGTTCCAAATTTCATAAACATATCTCAAACGGTTATTTAGATATTAATGTCCAAAAATCGTCATTTTTATCACTGATCAACTATAGATCAAAATTATAAGCCACTTCCAGATGACCTAGGAAGTTCAAATTTGGCATGCAGATAGGTAATTAGGTAAATATAAAGGAAAAAATCTGAAACTGGTAAATTGTTATCATTTTACTACAATTTTTCACTTTAATTGATTATATTTCAACTTATACTGGACGAATACTAAAATTCTATGAAAACGTCGATAGCCACCAATTGACATTGATCCCTGGCGAAAAATTTCATCTTGTACTGGACGGAAAGTAATATTGTATGAAAACGTCGATCATTACCAATTTACGTTGACCCCTTCACATCAGTGTCGATAACTAGCAAACTTCAAATATTGCATTGAGCGATAAACACTAGTTGCTATAATTTAGATTCTGTCTAAAATATACTCGTACTTATAACTAGGAGTATAGTCGAATTTCGTATTTATTATGTTATTAACTGAGATTTGGTATTAATTATTATTTCAATATTTAGCGCACATCGATAGTGTAAAATCATTATTTTTATAAATAATTATTAAATAATAGACATTTCGGTATAGGGCGCCGCGGCGGCGCCGTGTGGGAGCGGTGCGATAAAACGTTGACGCGAACCTGTCCGAGCGAATGGCAGCCGCCCTCATATGTCTCAATATTTTGTTTCCCGATATCTAACCTATAAGGTTGCGATTTATGCTACGAAATTTATAGCTTTCTTAAATTATACTTATATATTTGTGGTTATATTATTATTACATTATTTTAGTAAATACGTATGGTATAGACAATAGTTTAAACCAAAAATTAATAACAATTTTAGTATAGTTATAAGTAGGAATGTATAGTTAACTCGAGAATGAGAACTCATTGGTAACAAATTGTTTTCTTGAGAATTCAATAGATAACAGTCAATTTGTTACATAATCGTCTTTACGAACTATAACGTGTCAATACGAAGTTTCAGATATTAAATAATGTATATGTTGAAAGAGAACAATTCCGTATTTGCTTAACATATGCTATTACTATCCACAAATCACAAGGCCTTAGTTTTGGCAGTCCTCTTCTCAACATAGGCTCCTCCATATTTAATAAAGGGCAGGTTTACGTTGGACTCTCCAGAGTTAAAACCTTAGATGGGGTACGTCTTAACAATTTAGATCCAAGTCACGAGAGCTCTATTGTAGAGTACAACCATCTGTGGACGTTATACCGCCCCGATTTGCCCAAAAATTCCTGATACTGAATTGGCTTTGGACTTCAACATTTAAAAGTTACAAGAAAATATAGAAAATAACACAAAAAAAGACAATTATACCCCGTAAATATACGAAAATACAGTAATTTATCAAAAATAATTTGGTATTAATTTAGTTATAAATATGTACCTAGTATAATTTATGTACAAAAAGTAATGATATCCCATCAAAAACATAAATGTGAAATGATAGCCGAGTTTAATATTATGATATATGCCTTGATTGTTGACTTCTACGACAAAAGAGATGAGATCTAAATGGGTGCCAAGTTCAATGGTCTGTCCTGAAATGTATTTATAACAATATAAAATATCATTTCTTCTTATAACTTAGGATAATATACTGTAGCCTAAGGTCTAACTTGGCTAGTTTTCATATACGAAATATACTGTAGCCTTCGCAAGTTCTAAACATGTTACTTGTCGGTTCCTATTTTAATATTAATAGTAACTAGCAATCGAAAGTAATAATTGGTATATGAGAACTGGCCAAGTTATATAGGCTACAGTATATTATCCTAAGTTATAAGAAGAAATGATATTTTATATTGTTATAAATACATTTCAGGACAGACCATTGAACTTGGCACCCATTTAGATCTCATCTCTTTTGTCGTAGAAGTCAACAATCAAGGCATATATCATAATATTAAACTCGGCTATCATTTCACATTTATGTTTTTGATGCGATTACGTCTTTACAACTACGATTGTATATATGTAGAAATAGCCAGCTAGTTATATATATACCTAGCTGTACCCGAGGTTTCAACAGCGTTAAATTTCAATATAAAATATAGCTTATGTGTATTCTGATGCATAAGCTATATTAGCGTAAAGTTTCATCCGTTCAGTAGTTTTTGCGTGAAAGAGTAACAAACATTCACACTTACAAAATTTCCCATTTATAATATTAATTAATAAGATAGTAGTACCTGTACGGGAAGTAGTGACCAGGCTTGAGCGCGGCGTATCTTGGCGTCCACCAGGTCGCCCCGGCTGATGCTGTCCGCCGCCTGACTTATGCGATCCAACACTTGGTTTCTAATAATTAAATATTCAATATACACTATTCAACGAGTCACATATTTATGGGACATAATTAATGTGCTTATAGTTTAAATATATTTTAAGTATAAGAGCCAATAGAATATCAGCGCTACAGGTCTATCTATAGGTTTATGCGTAGTTTAGGCCAACCATCCTGTTTTCCCAGGACAAGTTCTAGTTTATGCAGTAAAAGTTTTTAAATTATAAATATATAAAAAAAGATATTCAAATATCTTTTTTAAAAAATATGGTTGCGTTAACATTCTATCGCGACTCAAGCGATGTTACCCCTTGTTTGCTTGCTTGTTGATGCAGTAGGGGAGCCTAGGCGGAAGTCTAGAAAAGCCTTAGTAAAAAATACGAGACTTACGAGTTTCAGAAGTCTTCGAATTAAATAGAGATTATTATGTCGAAAGAGAAAGAAATTATTATATGCTGAATGAATAAATATTACTTGTGGCAGTGTGGCGCCACCTGTAGGTAGTTTTCCTGCACGAAGAGCGGCGCGAGACTGTAGTCGTAGAAGAATAAGTCGCTCTTGTCGTGTATTGACATGGTCTTGTGCTCTTCCGCTGAGAACACTTTCCGGATAGCCTCCCATGGACCCTGGACATGTTACACACATATAATTTCACAGCTGTAATCGCAGACGACGTAGCCAGAGCCATTGTCAACTGAAGATATCATGATCTGTGATATCACCTCTCTATTGTAGCATTATGTATTATGTGATGAGATGTCTTAGCGGTGAGTGTACAGGTGAAATATTTGTAAACTGTCCAATTATTCAGTTTATTTAATTCAACTAAGAGTCGTTTATGTGGAATACAGGCCCCTTGTTTAGTCTATGATCTATTTTATAAGGTTTATATCTCGAATACCAAAATTCTATTCTAAATTGTTACTGCTTTCTATTGTTCTTGTTCGGATTCTTCCTGGCCCTAGTTAGTAGTGTATCTTTGTAAAATATTATTATATACAAATATATAATATATATATCCTACAATTCCCTGGTTTCTTATTTATCGTCCACATCGTTATAAAAACATTCAACGCAAAGTCGTCATGTGGACTGGTTTTATACTGAAGTTAAATCTAAGTAATGTGGAGACGTAAACATTTGTTTACTTCTCTACATTACTCAGAAGGGTGCCGAGTGTTGTCAGAAATATTATAAGTGCATGTAAGTACACGCATATTTTAGGACTAATTTTTGTTTGTCATCAGTGTTATAATCACGGGAGTATCAATAAAAAAAAAAATATATATATATATAAATTAACACTCAATAAGGACTTCGAAATGTTTGAGTTCTATAAATCTTAAAAACCAGACTACCTACCTACCAGAGAACGTAGACCCTTTCATATTCATAAAAAAAGGCTAGCAGCGCATGCGATATTGTAATTCATTAAAGTGTTTAATGAATATCCACACACTCTAAGAGGTACATACTCGTTACCCACCAATTTAATATCTTTCTTGATATTCTTGGCATCTTTCTTCAGTCGCTCTGTATCTGTGAGGTCCTTGTCGACAGCCCACATTGAAAGTAGGTTAAGGGTCTGCCTGACGTCTTGATTGGCAGCCACGATCAGCTGTTCCAGCACGTCTTGTGGGATCTTGAGCTCCTCTTTAAAGCATATAGACCTCATTGCTGACTGAAATAGTATGAATTTAATGACACTATTGACAGTATTGGCAGGTAAATATTAAATTAATGGCTGAACTTAAATATTTCATTTTTTTAACTATAAAAAATTTATATATATAGAATTGAATAAACAAGATCTTTAACCAAATAAAATTTAATATAAGCGCTTTGGAATAGTCATTATTTTTATTCGACTACTCTATCGGAACGCAATATCATCACAAAAAGAATGAACAGGAAAATTGTGTGTTGTTCTTTTAGATAAATGTTGTTCTAAGTAAATACACATTAAGAAGGATTATCCATGCGCAAATCAACATAGAATCAATCATTGTGCAATTAGATAATATTTTCAGCGCTATGAATTTTGAAATAGAGTTTATCTATAAAAACATCTTTTTACAAAGAAAGTGTTTTAACGGAAAAATATTCAAATAATATTTGAATATTTTTTCTGGCACATTTAGGAATGACTCAGACAGTTTTTTGTAAAACCGTAGGAAATTCCGAATAATATATAGCAATTAAAATTAATTACTAATTTTAGTTAAATCTAATAGTATAACAAGTATAGCGGTGTGCCTCTAGACCATCGAGATCTTCATATATGTACCCTAGGCTACAGGTTTTTTTTTAAGGATGACAATGGCATGATGCACCCGCTTGCGCTGACGGTTTATGCTGGCGGGGCACCAGTAGATGATGATAAGATGAACATGAGGTCAAGTCAGTTAGTCAATACTGACAAATTCACCAGGAATTTATCATGATGGTTTCCGGGGGTGTCAATCTGACATGGTTCATTGCTAGTAATGGGGTCATCAATCCACATTACTAACAATCCCTTTTCCCCCCTAGGCTACAGGTTACCTTCCATCAGGTGGGCGACAGTATATTTGCCATTACTAGTATATAAAGTGAAATATTACCTTGATCTGATTGACTGTGGGCCTCTTAAACCTCAAGTCGTAACAGTAGTTGACGAAACTCCGCATTTTCTGACTATTGCGGTCATTACACATGCAGATTATAGGTACAGATGTTGATTTTATTAATGATATCAGCTCTTGAAGGCCGCCTGGAAACAATAATAAAAGAAATGGTAGTGTTAAAGTTAAAAAAATACTTCCATTTTAGAAGTTTATTTTATTATCGTACTTATTTAGTATTTGTTTTACTTTCTCCGTGGATTAATTACAGAGTATAGAATAGGGCCTAGCTACCTAGAGGCTCAGCGGGGCAGTGCCCTGGGGCCCTCGAGCTCAGGGGGCCCACAAACCCTTACCAGAGATCTGGCTCAAACTGAACTTTTCAAAATTTAACCCATTTTCAAAATAAATATGACAGGTTGCAACCCAACTGTAATCATGGCAACTCAGTTGGGAGAAATTCGAAAGTTATAACTTTGGAATTCCCCTAAATTCTTTCTGTGGGTTGGCAGTGTTGTCAATTTGACGGATAGCGATCGATCCCACTGCTCAGCAGTGGAGCCCAGTTTTGATTTGCTCCAGGGCCCTTGGTTACCTAACTACGCCACTGGTACTAAAACTACTTAAGAATTCAATCGTCAAGAATGGCGAAGTAAATCATTCATTAGATGGTAGAGTTAAGAAATCATATAATTAAAATTACGGCCGTAAGTGATTGAAAACACAATTTAACTACACATGGCCATCTTAAAACCTGTTAAAAGTCCGACTAGACCCTGTTCAATTAAACAAGAATAAAAAGTCACTTTCTATTAAGGGTTTTGTTAATTTATATGCGCGTCCAAATAAAATTTTAAAATGTTATGTAAACTCACCTCGATCCTCGTTTCCAGCCATTCCGTCGACTTCGTCCATCACTAACACGTGCTTCTTAGTGACTGCTTGTTTACCGGTATTTCCTGTCAACATCATTATTATATGTACAACATATATATACATAATTCCTTGATGAGTACATTGGTATTATACTGTAATACTCAGCAAGATCATGTTATATTATAAATAAACTAGCTGTTACCAGCGAGTTTGTCTCCCTCTGGAAACCATTGTGGTAAATTGTCATTTGCCAAGATGGGCACTGATCTGACATCTTGCTCATCTTATCATCCTCCACTGGTGCTACGCCAGCGTAAACCGTTAGCAAAAACGGGTGCATCATTCCATTATCATCAATATAAAAATAGAGTGGTAGATAATACAGTACCTTTAGCGTACCCAGACAGCGACGTGGTGGTGAGTAATTCGCCAATTTGTTCTTTGATCAATGTTTTGTTTCTAGTATCGGACGCGTTGAATTCTACCATATCAAATCCTAGTTCCTTGCACACTAGCGCCACCGTGGTAGTTTTTCCTGCAATTTTTTCCATATAAATGTTAATTAAAGATATTATCAGAACTTCTTTTTGCAAAACATAAAAACAAACATTTAAATGATTGCCATTCAAGTGATCTAAGAGGTCAAGCCTCCATATGCTGTAATTTCACTTACGTGTCTCACCCTAGGGACCTTTCATTAATCACATGATGTTATTTTTAACTCATGGGCTGTACTCGGTGAGGTTTAAAAATAACCCCCCTCCCAAAAACTTATTTTTTATTTTGCTTTAGAAAAATCAGGGTCCTACACGCCGCTTTTCGGTTTGAAAGCGCGCGTTTGACGACGGCATAAATGCACGTGATATTTCGTGATTTTTACTGAACCTCTCCTTTCATACGTCAAGTGTTTAATGGCCCCCTACAACTCAAGAATAGTTGCCAAAGCTGTCTACGAATCTACATCAGAAATCAGTGGCATAAAGGTACCCGAGCGACCAACTATAGGTATAAGGTATAGACTGTCATTTTTCTTCTTTTTTGTATACTAACCTACTCCTGGCGGACCCGAGAGTAGTGCAGCCTTGTAATAACCACCGTCGTCGTTCTTCGCCCACGGGCTCGGCTTTTGCAGCTTAGCTTTTCTATTCATATACCATTTGGTGAGCCAATTCATTAATCTGCAAAATATGTATAAACTATAAAATCCTGCAGACATCCTTCTGACTGGAAAAGCAGCACCATCTACCGGGTCTAATTGTGTTTTAAAAGTATCCAGGAACCGATTTAAATATACACACAAAATTTCATACTAATTTGTACATTTATTTTGTAACATTTTATCTATGACTCCACACTAGGCTATTACTAGAATTATTAGGAGCTAGATGATAAACATACACACAGAAGAATGAAACATCTTATCTTAATAATATTATAAACGCAATGTAAGTATGGATGAATGTTTGTTACTCTTTAACGCGAAAACTACTAAACAGATTATGATGAAATGTTGCAGCAATATAGCTTATATATCAGAATAACATATAGACTTTAAATTTAATGCGGGTGAAACCGCAGGCACAGCTAGTATATAATAAGACATACGGTCCCCACTGGTATCCCAGATGGTGTAGTTAGAGGCATTCAAAAGTAGCTATTCTAATGCTGTTGGCCATATCTGGCCTTTAGAGCTTCACCGGACGATAGCGGGGAGTGCAGATGGCAATCCAAAGCCGCGGAAAAGCTTATGGAGCGGTTGAAGGCCAACTGTTGCCTGACGAATACTACTGTAGTCCGAGGGCACCGCTAGGGGGTTGAACCTCAGCTCAGGACGTCGTAATTTCGATGCCCGTATATACAAACAAAATTGAAGTGTCGGATTGTAATTTCAAATTAACAGCTTTACACTAACTGCTTAAGAAACCATATATGGTAAATGCATTTTTTTATGTCTTTCTGTATGTTTGTTCTTGCTAATCTCTGAAACAACAGGACCGACATTGATAGGTGTTTCGCTCGCAGATAGCTAATGTTATTTTAGTTTTTTTTTATAGTTAACTTTCACGAGGACGGAATCGCTGGTAACAGCTAAAAAATATCGATTTAGCTTACTTTACAACATTGCTAGACTCTCCGTGTTGTCCAATAATGGTTTTAATGTTTTGCGGCTTGTGCTTATCCACCCACATCAACGATGCTGTGGGGAGACCATTTGTACTTTTTATAGAACCAATAGATTCATTTGATTCACTATTTACTTCTTCCTTTTCTTTTTTTACTTCTTTTACAATATCTTTTTTCAAACATTCTTTTGGAATATCATCACCATGATTTTTTCTAGTCTTCTCTTCCATTTTTGACTCTTTTTTCAACTTATTATTAAAGCTATTCAAGTTTTTCTGTGGCGTTTTTTCTTTTTTCTTCGCAGTAGACTTTTCATTTTTAATCTCTTGTTTTACTTCTGTTTTATCTTTGTGCGGTGGGTGTGCAATCATATTAAGGAATTGATCTTCATTTATAATTTTAATACCTAATTCTTGGGCTTTGGCCATTTTTGCTGGACCTGCTTCTGATCCAGCCAGCACGTGGGTTACCTTAATTGTGACATAAAATACATTAAGTATTAACATATCAATTCAATAAGAAAGTTGCAACTTTTTTGTAAAAAATACAAGTTTGTATTGTGTGAGGATTGAACCCACAAGCAATGGGAAAGAACGAAATTCCTGGAACCTTTGTATCTCTAGTATTGTCTTATATTGGAGAAGTATATTTCATAGACTGAAATAATTTATCATTGCACATTATACAATGGTGATTTGTAAGTCACATTCATGCTCTAAGATTCCCATACTTACCAATTTGAAAATACTATGATACTCCAAATATAAATGAATGGTGGAATTTAATAAATATGACTATTTAAAATTGCTTATATTAAGTGTTAGATTAGTTCTATTTCTACTACTATTGTTCCTGCTAATATTACCTTTTTACTAATTCCGTTTTTAATGCTGCCTCCATACTTATTTATCGCTTCAACAACCTCTTCTCTCTCAAATGAGTCTAATACACCAGTCAATAGGAATGCAAAATCCTTCAAACAATTTGGTGGACCCTGAAATTATAATATATAGTGGTACTTGAATATCTGAATGATCTAACTTAACCTTAAGAGTTAAAATATTTTTTTTTCATACTCATGAAATAGATGAGTTGATGATCCACCTTATGGTAAATTTATACATATAAGTAAAGGACAATATAAATCTTATAACATGTCTACATTGTGGAGATTGGTAAACAGGTTGAAAACACTTTTCTATATAATAACAAAGGTGTAATTATTTATACAAAATTTTATAAAGTACATAATTATATCTAGTCGGTATAACTACATTGATTTTACCTCAGGTATCTCCTTAGTCCCCAAATGTTTGGGGCCAGCTCTATTTAAGTAGCTTTGGTACAGTGCGGCGGATTGTCTCCGCCTCTCGTGACGCTCTTCGTCCGTTAGTGCTGAAAAATAAATGTTAAGTTGCAATAGAAGACTTCTTCTTATTTAATCCTCATAATAAATACTTACCAGACTCATTGAGACTTTTATCATGTTTCTTTTTTTTGGGTTTTGTTTCTTTCTGAGTTTCATCAATCTCCATGCAACTATCATTGAAATATTCACTAGTATCGCCATCTTTCATAATCTCTGTGCCATTCGTTTTTGTTTCAACATTACTAGTGTTTAACTTTTTCTTTTTGCTCTGAATGTCAGCATCATTTTCTTGAGGCTTGTGTTCACTATCAAGAAATTCAGCAAATTTTCTTTTATTCTCATTCTTTACATTATTATAAACTGATCGACTAGATGTTTCTTTTGTAAATGATGTCTCATTCTTTGATTTTGTTTTCTGTTTATTCTTGATTGGTGTTAATTGTTTATTTGAAATTTGATCTTTTACATGATTATTCTTAGATTCATCAGTAGTTTTTAGTGGACTGATCTTTTTTGGTGATGGTTCTTCAATATCTAGTTCTAACAAACTCTTATCAAATTCCTCATCAGAATGTATACCAACTTCAGTTTTCCTTTTAGCTTTCTTCACTATTGGTTCAGTCCTTTTTATTGGTTCACTACCAAAGATATCACCAGCTTTGACCTCTTTTAGAACAGATTTTTGCGGCGTTTTAACTTTTTTATTCTGTGACTTATCAGATTTATTTTTCTTTTTTGATGTAAATATTTCCTCATCTGAATCATCTCTCAAAACTTGTTTCTTTTTTGGAGCTTTTTTCTGTAATAATTATATTATATTTATTCCTTCATACTAATATTATAATTGCGAAAATGTGTCTGACTATGTGTTTGCTACTTTTTCAGGCTAAACAGCTCAACATGACTTAATGAAACTGGAGATGAAGGTAAATTGTAGTATGTGCACAGAAGAAAGAAAGAAGTTAATTAATAATTTTAAAATATAATCTGAATGGGGTGAAATATGCTATGAAAGTATATGAAAAATGTGAGAAACAGCTAGTTTTAACAAATATATTATATGTCAATTGTATTCAAAATTATTGTTTTTCTAATGTAACAAACATGAATAAAATACAAACCTGTTTTATATGAACATCTGGAGACTCTGGTATAACATCATCATCCTCTTCTATCTTAGGCTTTTGAGGTTTTTTTGGCAGAAAAAATGATCTAATATCCTATAGATGATTAAATATAGTAATTAAATAAGAGCTTACTCTATATTGTACTAGTGGCCAAGTCCAGTTTTCAATTAAAAAAATTAGAATTTTTTGCTAGTTTTCTAGTGCAACATGTCTTATTGAAACAATATTTAAATGTTATATTCCTTATGACTTTAGAAATATATTTTCAGGTTTACTTCAGAAAAGAAGCTTTCATTTTGACTGTATTTATTTTGTGTGTGAATTTTACTAATTTTATACCATATGTTGATAATTCCTATTCTTAATTTAAAAAAGCTATGTTGATTCATGATCAGTCAATACTTGGAGTGGTATTAATTAAGAAAAGAAATAAAGGTTACATCATTTTCAATAAGTAAATTAAAAAATGAAGAAATAGTAATAAATTGCATATACTTACTTGTATTTACATTTCCATTTCATTTTATATAAAATGTAATGTGAAATTGCTCACTTTAGAAAATTATAGTAATTTTTTTAGCCATTTCATAGGCAATCATTATAAAGAGATCAGATGTTTCGCTCAGTAATATTTTCATAATGTAATGAGGCTATTTATATAAAATGTAATGTTAAAGTTACTCACTTTAAGAGTATTAGTGTTCAAAAAACTTTATAATAGTTTTTTTACCCATTTCACAGGTAATCATAATGAACAGGTCAGTTGTCTCGCTGACTAATATTTTTGTCATGTAATGAGGCTATAGGCCCTCGATTTTTATTCCCCGATAGGTGCATTAGCATCGAGTATATAGTTAAGTTAAAAGTATATAATATATACTATTATATAACTACATACATAACAGATGTTTACTGCCATTAACAGCAGAGATGTATAAAAATCACACGGAGTTCATATTAGAGTATCAATTGTATGTATAATACAAATCAAATCAAATAATTTATTCGCAGAACAAATAAGTAAAATTGTTTTTTTATTACTTCAAATTCTGTGTTGCTTAAATGGCTTAGATATTTTTATGAATGGCGGCATTCCAACGATAGTGATAAATAATGTAAGCAGAGTTTGTACTATACAACTAAAATAATTGATATAAAAAAATATAAATTTTAAAACCCACTTGTCCATTCTTGACAGTGCCTTTCAACTGAGGTAGCCCTACAAACTTTATGGTGAGATGGTAAGGTAAACATTAGATAAAAACCATGCTGGCACAAATAAATGGCAAAACTGAGGTCTATAAGATTTCGACTGTGACTGTACATACTTAATTACATTGTTTTTTGCAAATATATACAACATATAGATTGAACTTGATTGTAATAATATTTCTTATATCACAGGTCAGCAAGAATATCATAAATTATAACAAAGAAACGAATATTTTTTGAATATATACTCACTTTTGACATTCTTGTTCAGTGGGTAGCGGCTTAAAATAAAAACTAATTAAACATTCATACAAATGTCCATGATTATATTTGCAGTGGGTAATATCTAATATGTACTGTAATCTAAGATAATACTGATAAATATTTTAAATACTTTCAAAATGATATATTTTTAAATCATAACAAGTTATCTCTTACCAGTACGCAATAGAATCGCGCAATATTTTTGACATTGACTGATGAACTTGTCAAGGCGAATATTCTGACATCAGACAAACTGTCAAAAGAAAAGAGACTGACAGTATGTTAATCGAAGAGTCATTTCTGTACACTTTCTAAAAATAAAAATAAAAAAATATGATATAACCAGCCCCAAGTATGGTACTACCTCTTAAGTTAGGATAAGTTAATCTAAATATGTATATATATATATATAGTCCCTAACTTACATTTTATAATTTAAGTTAGATTTAGAAACCGGCCGCTAGACGCTACCAGCCCAGTTACCCAGGGATGTTGCCCCTCGGGGCTACGTAATATATATATTTCCGTTATAAGAGAGATCGTTTGAGGCAGATTGTATGCTTACTTACCATTAATTAAAGTTTCATGCCCAGGTTTGAACTAATTTTCAAACAATAAATAGAAAAAAGATTGTATATCAACATGTACAATTGTGTCTAATTTGACGCACAAACGTAGCATTGACCAGTTCTTGCAATATCAAATATTTTTTACGAAAACTTTATACCTACCTTTATATATTGCATAATGTTTTTCGAAGATAAAAATAACAATTAAATGTTTCGCACATTTCTTATTATTGCTACTGCTACATGTACAATGTCCAGCAATGTTGGTACCACTATATTTTGTAATAAGTCTAAGTCTGATTGTTGGAATCAAGAAGAACTGGCCAAATTACGAGCTAGAGAAATGTTTGAACAGCTTATGCCATCTCCCGTTACGCCCGACAAAGTTGATAAGAAGTATACAAGAGATACTCTACGGTACTTCCGTGAGGCATTGCAAATGGTTCAAAGAGACCAAGATGTTTATACTGCAGCCATACTTAAAGAAGCTTTAGCAGATACTATTGGAGGGCATTTAAGAAGTGAATTGCTACCTACCGTTCGATTTGCGTATTATGCCGGATATATACCGTATAGAAGCGCTAGGCAATTACATGACTTCTTTGATGAGCTGAAACGGAGTTTAAATACTCAAGGTTTAGGATGGAAACAACCCGATAAAGTACCACCTTGGTCAAACCTGACCGTTGTTAAAATTCTGATAGGGTCTGGAAAATTCTACCACCCATGCGGATGTTTGGTGACTAAACGCGATTCTAATTCGTGTATTCATTTGCCGTTGCCAAAATTAGATGATTACGATAGCCCATCTGCTATTGCACTGCCATTCAAATCGGGCGGTCTAGTGAGTTTAACTTCTCCAAACTCGCAGAATATTTTGCTCAAATATTATACTACTGTTTCAAGATGTATTTTAGATAGTTCGCCCAAAGACTGTCGACATCCCGATTTTGTAAATTACAATAACGAACTGTGGCATTGGATGAAGAGAGATGTCGCACCGCATTTGATCGATGAAAAGCTGTATGCGGCCTACGGAGGTGTCTTAAGAGTAGCAGCAGCAGTACAAAGTTATGGTAAAGGTCTTTCACGCCGCAATCTTTTCCAATATGAAAGTGCAGGGTCCTCTAACTGGAATCCTTTGAAGATACTTACACAATCCTTTATTTATGTAAATACAGATTGGACGCCGCAGTTGTACGTCGGCCTAGTGTTGTTAGCAGCAGCGGCTATATATTTATTGCAGATGTGTTACAACTATATATTCGGAGACGGGAATAACTGCAGATGTGTAGGTCGGTCGAAGAAATCATGGTCTAAAAATGTCGAGTGCGCCAATGTGGATACAAATGTTCCGCGTACATTAACAGCGAATCAAAGGGCCGTTTACTATAATGAGAACAAGCGAATGCACGTACTACCATCAAAAACAAAAACGTCTTCAGTTAGTACACAGAAAGTTTATGATCTGAATGAGAACACCGAGAAGCTTATGGACGTGATATTAAGCGACGAGGATTCTGATATTGGATCGCCATTGCCGTCAAAAAATGAAAGTGATGATAATAGTATTGCAGTCGACATGGGTCCATCCAAACAGTCGATAAGCCCTCCTAAATTAGAGACGTCGATTGCACAATTGCGCATTGACAGGACGCCGGGCACAACTAAACGAAAAGGTAGATCACAATACTCGACAAGCACTGTTACGCGGTCAGAACTGACGTACTGTCAAGATCAAGGAAGTGAATCTGTTTGGACTGGTACTGAGAGTTGCAACTCCAGCGAGTCGATCAGCACAAGAAGTACGAAATCTCGGAGTCGTAAGTCGAGAAGTAGTCGCGACTTAGCGTGGGCTCGACGTGTGATCTCTAGAAATTCAGCACAAAGCTTTACTAAATCCACTACTGGTACTGAACTGGATATTAACTCACATACCACACCACGGTCCCAACGTTAGTTGAATTTATTTTATAAGTAATTTAATTCGTAGGAACTTTTAATGTATTGTATTCCTTTAAGATATATTGTATAAGAACGGTATAAGATTTTTAAGAATTATATAAGTCATTTAATTATAGTAGTTTTTTCCTCTTCGTTATTGCTGTGTCGCATTAGGAATGTAGGTAGGAAAAAGCTGACGAAGTTTCAACTGCCAACGATTGAAGCATTATTATTGGATTCTTATATTTACCTACTGGATTCTATTATATTATGGTCACTTTATAAAAGTCCTTACAAAGTTGGTAAAAAATACATGAAATTTCTATAGTGTAAAAGTAAGTCGCGTACGGTTCCTTTTGGCTGTTGTGTATAAAAAAAAATAGATTTTGATGATTTTTTATCAATAGATCTCTTATTGGTCGCATACATATACCAAAATTGGTAGACATATTTTGTCTACGCTACAAACTTGGAAATAAAACATAAAAATTTAATTATATGTATATTCACATAATATAAACCGTCAAACATAGTTTATTAATATTTAGTACATCGACGGCACCGTGTTAAATATTTCAATCTTTAAATAAAACATTATATATACTTTCAAATACACATTCATATCACATGTAGCATATTTTGTACCTTGTTTAACATAAATCATATTAATAGAAAAAGTGATCATCGTCTTATCTAACAATGGAATACACACATATCAACCCATGAACGAAATCACGTGAACACGACAAATTTTCACAAACAGGCCGTTTTTCATCAAGACGATTAAGTTCAAATTAAATTTTAGTCCTCGGGATTTCCTTCATGGAACGATCTCTAGATAAAAAAATACACTCAAATCACAGTACTATACTAGCATTTTATTAAATCATACAGATAACAAACAATCATTGCTTTTTAAATTTTAATCGTAATAAAGAGTACTTGATTTGATTAATCAGTTGATTAACTCTGATATCAATAACTAAAACAATAGAAGCCTGACAAAATATCTTCTAAAACCTTTAGTTATTGCTTTTAGTCACATTCGTAGAGGAGGACATATTTAGTAATGGGAACTGATGATCTCATTACTAACTATATAGAGCTTAATCAGGTCGAGCTCCAGACGATCTTACCTAGAAACCATCGTGGCCAATTTCTGGTGAGTTAGCCGTATTACGATGGGTAAACTCACCTGATATAAAGCTCAGCCTATCACCGATACCCCGCCAGTGCACACCATTTTTTTATCATACTACGATGGTGGCAAACAAGCATACGGTCCATCTGATGGTAGATGATTACCGTAGCATATAAACGCCAGAAACATAAAAGGGACCGTTCTATATTCATCCATTAGAAAAAAACACCATAGGTAACTTATTGGAGGGAATAATCTTACATAAAATAATTTAAAAATAAAACATATATTCATCCATTAGAAATGAAAAATAAAATTACAATATTATTTTCTTACAATTAAAAAATTGCTTCGATTAACCGACATGATAATAGTAACTAGTTATAATAATAGTAACTTATCGCGCAGTGGTCAAAACACAATCGAACTAACAATTACAAATATATATTTTAACAATAAACAATAGAGTATATTATGTGTGTCTGTGCAAATACGTGGTAGTGCCTGTAACGTTTTTTTTACTGATTAAATAAAATTAACATTGTGCACTCCTTTTCTATATAATCTAAAAGTGTGCGAAATATTATACTCCGCCGTCCGTTTTTGCTTCACGTATTAAATATGAAATAATTCATTGCATCAAATATGCTTTGTAACATGTTACGTCAAATACTTAATAGAATGAAAATCACATATTTGTTTTGAAATATTTAACGAGACACTATTATTTACGAACGTCCGATATATTGACGCCTCGTTTGTACAAAGTGTACACTAAAGTTATCATTTTTTAAATGTATAATTGTATCAATGTACCCATAGGTGATCTATACGGCCGACATTCTATTTATATAATTAGAATTAAGATTGAGAACTAGTTTAATATAAATTAAATGATTGTGAATGATAACATTTTAAAAATAACCACTTGTTATTAGTGTATTTTCAAAAAGTGGAAAAAACAAGAGGTCGATAGGGTATAGGACATGAATAAATATTTTTTTATCTAAAACGTTTTCTCGTAAGGGTTGTTCTATCTCTATAGAATTTTACGATTACCGGTCGGTCGATTGACGATTACAAGTCGGTTCTCTAACAATAAATCTATTAATGAGTATTACATTATATTTCATTTCTTAATATTGCACTTTGATTAAAGTTCCAAATATATTAATCTCTATATACGAATATCATTAAATAAAACAATTTAAATAAAAAGAGGAGAGTAACAATAGTAGAAATGCGTCTCACCATACAATGATAATGCTGGCAATACACGCCACGATAAATCGTTACATTTATACCGTGAATAGTTGATATGAAATAAATTAATTTTGTAACAAAACAGTTAGTTGATAGTATTATGGCCAGGTCATGTCATAATAATGTTTAAATGTACCAATTTATGAACTTCGGTGATCATAAATTTATTTATAAATATTAAAATAATTTTGAATAGTGAATTTCAATAAAATATAGAACAAGGAAGTATGAACGAGAAAAGAAAAAAAAATTATAACAAACAGCGATAATACTCTTGCAAGTGCAAATATATATACAATACCTATTGAAATTGTCAGTACACACATACATATACGTGTATATATAAAATAAATAAATAAACGACTCTGGACAATTAACACAGCGTTATCTAGTCCCATGGTAATCAGAGTTTGTGTTATGTATAAACAAAACGACTAACTTGGTAGAAAAACACTTCAACCAATTCATATCGTGCGAGAATGCTAGACTATTGAAATTGTAAAATACTCTGTACAGACTATTGCTACTGTAAAGTGGAATAGGTATGATTATAACGATTTTACCGCATCGAGTGTGCCATAGCGATTTACAGATCTGTTTTTCTTCTGTATTTTATAAAAATAAATATGTTTGTGGGTATAAATGCCGTAAAATTAATGTTCACTTATTATTACTAAATGTGTGACTTTAATAAATAACATAGCAAATAAGAAGGACAAAAATATCACAAGAAAATGAACATATAAGAGTGCCTTTAGAAAAATTATAATAAGAAATACAGTTAAATACTTGTACTGTAAAATTTTGTGCAATGCTCAATTGTATAGAGCATTATACAAATATTAAATTATGTATAGGGGTCTATACAATAGAATACAAGATAGGTAATTCTAGGCGAGAAATAATATTTATTGATATAAAAACATTAGGTTTCCTTTATGATTCTATAAATATTTTTGTAGTGGTCACATGAACACACGAATTCTCATTTATTAAGTTGGATAAGGTCGAAAGATTTAAAAAGATAAATATATAACTTTAAATTCAATGTGAATATTTATAAACCACTTTTTCCACAGGAACCGTGAGTGCATCGTGGCCTAATTCTTTTATATTTCTCATTGACTCTTTGGTGATGTAAACACTGATAACAAACCAAATCAATCCAAAAGATGGCGGTAGGTTCGCTCTACCACATTGAATTTGAACATTACTGTATTAATACTGTCTTGAAGACAGTTACTGACCACCCCATCTGAGAGAAGTCGTGAAGGTATCCCTAACTTTTTTCCAAGAAACAGTTCTACACTAAGAGAGAGCGAATTTTGTGACAATGTGTGCGTAAAAAGTAAACTGATGCAAAATAGCAGTTATTTCTGATTGTGGGACAAGAGAAAATGTAATAATTAAAAAAAAATATATAAAAACATAACCTTCAGGACTGTTATTCCAGATGTGATAGTCAGATGCATAGACAGCTATCGGCATTGTAGTTAGCTATACTTTATATGACCAAGTTTCGTGGGGTATACGAAATACAATATGGCAGGAGGCGAGCTGGTATATTGTACAATATTTTTTAGTAAATTAACCGCCTTTAATAAAATACGGAATAAATAAATTATTACGTAAAAGTTAGTCTATGATATACATATTCAATTACGGAGCATCAGTTTAGTTTCGGTTGCAGTAGTTAATTGTCTATAGCTACGTCTTGAATACGAAACTTGAGTTTTATTTTTCATATCCGTCCGAATTTCAAATTACTTTGCTTTATAAATAAAAAATTTACTTAAGTTAAAAATCGTGTAAGAGAGCTAGCTACTAAAGGTTCGGTATAGTTTAAAACTAAAATTTAAGTTTACAATTCGGCATTGTTTTAGCTGTAAACCCTAATTTCGATGATACTCGTATATTATTAAACAATTAACTTCCTGCAAGTTGCTATTACTTTCTTTGTACCCTAATGATTGCACGGAATCTTCCTATTCACCACAAAAACGAGAAGTAATTAAAAGGAGAATTGTGATAGATACAAATAAAATAAGCTTATTATTAATAAATATTGTGACGATTCGTTTTAAAACTAGTGATAAGGTGTAAATTCATGTAGCCTTATTTAATATATAAAATAATAAATATTATGTGATCATACACAGTTGAAAAGTACTCCTTAGCCCAACGCAATAAAAATGAGTAATATATTTAATAATAGTTCTATGACTTCATTTCGCTGTCTGATTAGTTTCAATTCTCCATCTATTTATTATACTAAATAATATTTATTCTCTGGACGTTAATATATATAATAACAATAACTTATACAAAACAATACTCAGACAATAATAATATCAACATAGTGCTATAAAGGCATATGTATCTCGAGACACGAAATTTGAATCACATTTGAATATTAACCTACATTGTTTGATGTTACACATCATGGTTTTATATTTTTGTACTGTCTAGCGCTCCATTTTCTGTGCATGTACTTAACTATATACAGTGGTAAACACGAGACCAATGTGATGACAGTTACCTTCCACCAGAAGTCCCAGTGTCTTATGAAGTCAGCGTCTGTAGTAGAACAATATTACATAGATGTATTTACATAATCATTACGATTCAAGATTCGAAAATCTTCATTTGTAAAATATGCATAATTAGTAGCAATTATATAAACATGAATAATTTCATTAACTCATGTTAGGTACATCAGGGATTCAAATACTGAATTATCGCTATATCTGTTGTCGTTATTGGAATATATAAATTTACGTCATTTATTTAAAAATGGGACCCAAAACTGAACCTTGAAGAACACCCATAATTATATTACCTGTATTTGATTTTAACTGAATTTTGACAATTGAACGTGACTATATATATAATATATAATAAATAACGTATATGAGTTAAACAATCAGAACAGTACAGTGTAGTGTTATGTTTTAATTTTACTGATAAGAGGGTCACAATCTCTACACCACCTACTGTCATTATTTTCTAATAACCAGCAGATGAAAGTATCTATTTATCCATTTCTGATGTTATATTAGTTTTTTATTATTATTAATGGATACTTACCGAAATAAGAAGTGAAAATGAGCAGAGTGGCAGTGTACATGAGTAGGCTGACCAGCTCGGCGGCAGCCATCAGCCGGTGCCAAGTGACTATCGTTAGCGCTACCATGATCAGCTCCGTCAATATCAGCGCTGTGTAACTTATTTCAACTATGTGAATAAGCTGATCCTCGAATAGTACTAACGCACCATACATTATTACACCACCTGTAATAGAGATCATGTTCTTAGTACTAAACGGATTATCCGTGCCGGATGCCGGGTCCATCGTGTGAAATACTTTTTTTATAATATAGGGAATGAACTTTTTTTATAGGATAAGTGACTACCGCCGCCTATGAGCGCCTATGAACACCAGGAGAATTGCAAGTGCGTTGCCAGCCTTTTAAGAAGGAAAAAGCTCTTTTCTTGAAAGTTTCAATATCTTATCGGCTCTGATTCCATAATGTGGTTGTGGGTAGTAAAAAGTTTCTGGAAAAACGCACAGTGGAGGACGTGCGTTGTTTATCAACATTGCATTATTACCCATAAAAAAACTTACTCTATCATGACAAATGAATTAATATTATTTACTGAAATAATAAATTAATTAAATAGGAAATTGTGTTTTTAAATTTACCTTGATATATAGATATTCCAGTCCAAATATAAAACGTCTTGTATGAGAGCTGCCTTCCTTTTGTGAGTTGTTTGTATAGCTGCGGATACCTGAGCGCCGTTAAACTTGATATATCTTTATCCAGTACCTATACAGAAGATAATATTTAAAAAATACTACTTTATAGTGGTTAAGTCATACAAATTGACGTTAGTAAACTTTATTTACATAATTTCACTAAAATATATTTTTTCAAGGGTGTAAAATAAAGTTTGAAATTGCCGTATTGCAGAATGTCTATTAAAATAATGGAAATAGAGTTATGAGGGAAAATTTAAAATATTTTTATTCTTAGATAGCACGAAGTTCGTTGGACTAATTAGTGACAAATAATTCAATAATACACGCATAACATTAGACTTACCAAAGAGAAAACAGGTAGCATAGTGTAGACGGTGCCGTATCCCACCATCAAGAACCCGGGGTACAGCGAAACTGACGAGAAGTAGAACACCACAGAGAACACGGCCTAACAATTAATATTTAATATATCTATTATAAATATGTAATGAAAATATAAATATTACGAACTAATTAATATAAAATGGCTACGTGGTTAATTTATATGCCGACGAAATGAGAACAACAGGTTCACCCTCTCTACAATCTCTACAATCTTCTAAAATATTTTGGCCTGTTTAGAACTGCAGTAGATACTGTACTAGAAACTTGATAGGCAGAGAGGGAACAGCTAGCGGTTAAGGTGAGCCTCTTAAACACAAGGGGTCTCACAAGACCCAAGAACTACTCGAAGTTTCTCTCACTGCGATACGATGGAACGCTAAGAAGTTCGTTTCGCATTGGGTTTTTTAACGCACAACGGTCCAAATAAGAGGTTAAATGCGGAAAATAGCGACCGACATACATTAGCCTATTACTCGGGTCAGAATCTCAGCTGAGAGAACCTGGAAAGTATAAGGGTGGGATATTTTTTACCTGCATGGTGGAGACGATGAGGCCGCGGTGCACTATGAACAGGCACAGCGCTGCGGAGCGCGTGAATGCGCGGCGGCCGTGCACCAGCAACAGCCGCGCCAGCCACTGGAACTGACGCACGCTCACGTCCCCCGCCAGCGACGCGGACCGGCCCTCCGCGCCCTCTATCCCCACGCCTGGTACCGACATCATATCACTCATTTCACTAATTTTATACTCGCCACGCTTCAATCCGACCACCCGCAGATTCAATATACCACCGACACATTAAGGCTCAATCCTAATGGTCCTTAGAGCCGGATCACGTTACTGTTCAATGAATTGACTGATTTAAAAATAATAAATGGTACGTGTTGATGGCTTCAGCGGATTATAGGGTTGTTGAAATTATAGATTTTGCTTATAGTCTTGAATTTATTGGGTAAATACGATGATAAATTACAATTTTGGTGGAGTGAACAAAAGTACGTTAGATCGATTGGTTGTTTTTTTATGTCTGTGTTACGTTGCGTATTTAAATTGGATGGGTGTGCGCTCCAATCAGAACGCTCCCTTCGTGTTGCGTTTTGTTGCAGCTTGTATGCGACAGATATTTTTAGTCTGTTTTAAGTAAAAAATAATAAACTTCTTATATTACATATGATTTTTTTATGGAGCCTTTTTCTGCTTTTTGTTAATTAGAAAATGTCCTCCTTTATTCTGATAGCATGTTATGTTTAATTGAACTAAATAAATACGTCATAAGCGACTATTAGAACAATTTTAACTAGAATACATATGTTTCTATAAATAAAGTAAAAATATAATAAACATAATAAATTACAAACAAATCAGCAAGTATACGATTAAACCATGGAAAGTATATTTTTCAAGTAATTTAATGAAGAAGTTAATGAAGTTTAATGAATTTCTAGAAGATTTTACTTCAAGAATAACCAGTTGATATGTGAGTGGGTAACCTCACTTACCCATATCGGCCTCCTGAATCATGGCAACGTCGTTTCCACCGTCGCCAACGGCGGCAACCACGTGCCCACGCGCACGTAGTAGTCGCGCTACTGCCGCCTTCTGCGTGGGCGAGCACCGCGCTACTACCACGCCACTACACTGCTCCAGCACCTTCACGAATTCCTTCTCGTACGTGCGCAGACACACCTGCCAAGAGTTTAGTATGATATTTAATATTTCTTGTAGATTGCTTAAAAGCAAGGGAATATTTGCATACATTACGTGAAATAATCAGTAAAATGTGAGCAGATAGTTTAAGACTGCTTGTAAGGGTATTATTGCTTACTTTTCGTGGAATAATCTACACTAAAATGTGAGACTAACACTTGATCAATCATTAATTCTAGTTAAGTTAATGGCACAACCTATAGTCTGTATAGATATTTAGAAGATTTGCACGCCGCTTCCCACGAACCACTAACCTCGAGCGTTTCGCCCTCAATGATGAGGTTGGTCTGGTCAGGGTCGCGCGCCTCCAGCATGTGTAGCAACCGCAGTACATCGCGACGTGAGGAGCAGCGAGCTGCCGGCACCCAGCCGCCTGCACCGCCGCCCAGCTGCAGGGAGCACGCGATACACTGCGCCGTCTCCAGTTTATCGCCCGTCAGCATCCAGACCTGTCCGGTCATATATGTAACATATACCACTTTCTTATTTCAGTTAATCTTCTCTCAAGACGATTCACACAGCGCTATCTAATCAAAGCTAAGCTAGCTAGAGCTTGTTCATTCATAATTTAAGAGCTGTGCTCTTGTCGGTGGAGCTCACGAGCTCGTTATGGGTACTATGAATAATCAGATATTTATTTGATTATTCATTTTACATATAAACAATCATACTTATTAATACAGATATTTATACCGTGCGAGGAATCGAACCTGCGACCATCGGAAGATAGTCTGTATGGAAACTGATAGAGTGAGGCCGTACTAGAATTAGGCACTGAGTATCCTATTTCTTAATCAAAAGGAATGTACTATGTAAACGTACAAAGTTATATGTTGCTTATTTTAGCTTGTGTGTACACTTTTGAAACGATGGCGCTGTACCTTGTCGGTATAGATCTACAGACCTTGACGCCGGCTCTGCGCAGCATACCGAGCGTGGCCGGTACTTCGTCCGCCAGCCGGTCCTCGACGCCCGTGAGAGCCAGCAGCGACAGGCCGCGCTGCAGCCGCGCCACCGCCGCCGACGTACGCTCGCTGCGATTTGTCACGCTCAGTCGCGCCTCCTTATATTCGCTCTGAAATTACCGCAGTATACCTTGTACATAGTTTGAGGTACGTGTTGATGTGTGGTTTTTTATAGGATGATAATTTTACACCTGCCTGCGGACCATGATAAGATGAACATGAACTCAATCAATTAGACCCTATTGTCAAATGGGAATTTATAATGATGAGTACCAGGGGTGACCCCCCCCGTACTCCTCATGCGTTTCCTTTCAGGAGGACTAAGGTGCCATCGTACCCTTCTACATCTTACACAATCCGATAAAAAACATAGTTACGTCATATCAGGACGGTAAGCCCATAATGGTAAATTCACACGTGGAATTTGTCCAAATCTTTTCCATTGGAGGTCAATCTAACATGGTGGGCGGAAAGGGGATTGTTAGTAATGTAGATTGATTATCTTATTGCTAGCAATGTACCATGTCAGGTTGACCTCCACGCTTTTCCCCCCGGAAATCGTGATGAATTCCTGGTGAATTTGTTATGACGGGCTAACTGACCTCACCTCATGTTCATCCTGTTATCCTCCACTGGTGCCCCGCCAGCGTAAACCGTTAGCGCAGGCGCGTGCACCATTCCATTGTCATCCACAAAAAAAATGTAACATGGTATATCGTTAGCAATGAGTTCGCTAGTCACTAACAATCTTCTCTTCCCTGCGACAGGTGTGTTGTACAGGATCGATTACTAGTTATCCACCTCAAACTCCAAATATTGGTTGTTGGTGAGGGTCTTGTAGGCGACGACCAGGGTCCGCAGGCCGTCGGCGGCGAGGCGGCCGCACTCGGGCGCCAGCCACCCGCACGCGCCCCGCACCAGCGGCGCCAGCCCCACGTCCGCGCCCTTCACGTAGTACGTTATCTGGTCCGTGTTTTCCTCCTGAAAATCAATTTTTATTTTGTACAACCACCTCGTCGGAGCTGGCGGCCTGGTAGTCGCACGACTGTTGCTCCGACGGCTACTTCATAATCTAACTTTTGGTTGCTAAGTAATCTAGTGTTGGTGAGGACGCAGAAGTGATGCAAGAGCCCTATGCTACAAACGTATCATGTTGTACTACTTTAATCTGTTCGCCGCAGCAGGTCTTTACAGTTTCACAGGACGATAGGGGGCGAGTGCAGATGGCACTCCAAACCCGCAGAAGGACTTGTGGAGCTGTGGAGCGGCTGAAGACCAACTCCTGCCTGACGGATACGACCTTAGTCTTGAGGGATAATAATTTATTATTCAATTCCGGTTCTATATATATTTATGTTAATGATCGTCGACACCATCGACTTTTTTTATGTCGGTAATCGTCATGCCCCTAAAAATGATATTTCTTTACTTACATTGTATCCAATAAAAATAAAGAAATATTATGATTAAAACTTACATATTAAGTGTAATATAAAACAAATAAAATAATATGAAAGGAATAAAAGCTCAAATGGTTAAATTAATATCAATCAATAGACAGTTTATTATCTCCGAATATTGCACAAACTCCTCTGTTCACAGTTCATACTTATCTAAAATCCTGGCTACAGATATAACAAGAAACCTTCGATTTTGGAAAAAATTATAGTAAGCAGAAAAATAAATTTCATAATTCTAAGTTCAAATAACTTTGAACATACCTGTACAATGATACCCATCATCTTGCTCTCACTAGTGAATGGAAATATCTGTAGAATACTGAACTGCATTATTTCGTTTGCTGCTCTCAGTTTCAACGATATGTTGTGTAGATCCCTTCTGTACAGTGAGACGCCCATCTGTGATAAACATAAATAAGTTACTTCTATGGACTATATGGTCGGACAATCAATATATACAAAATTTACGGCCTCAGTTTAGTACACATAATTAATATAGAATTTATGACTCGACGTGTCAACTCCGGTCCGGCCGATCAGATGATTGTTTTTGTAGTGATGTGACCAAATAACTTTGAAACAGCGCAGTTCGATGTGGTTTGACTTTAAAAAACTATGCATGTACGTCAGTTCAAAGTTACATCGCCTATTCGATCCCGACCTGTCAGAAACGAAAACTCTGAGCGGCCGGACCTTAACTACATTAATAATTATTAAAATCGGTTCACGTACAAAATAATAGACGTAGCAAGTGATTCAAGAGCCCTATGCTACAAACGTACCATGTCGGTCCACTTGACGAGCGCCACCTCGTCGGGGCTGGCGGCCTGGTAGTCACACAGCTGCTGCTGCGGCACAGCGCCCCCGCAGCTCTCAGACATCACGGAGCTGCCCATGTCTGCACGACAAAATAATTATAATGAGAATAAAAATCACTCGTATTTGAGAATAATTATTACAAAATTTATTTCGATAGAGCGATATTGACAAACCTCTAATAGATAAAGTATATAAAATGTTATATTTAATAAATATCGCTGTACCCAATTGTTAAACTTACATAAAACTAAAGGAAGAAGTGTCAAAATTTGGCTTTTTTCTGCAGTGTGTGCATAGTCCCTCTAGTAATTTCCCGTATAGGTGTAATACTAACGAACCTACAATACAGCCTGCGTGTCTTAAATCTGCCGCCGAATACATATCACAATGCAAAAAGCAGCAATATTAAATACCTGTTGTATCATGCGTAAGTTTTTACAGTAACTCAAGATATTTAATATTACTTGGTCAGCGTGACCCATAACTGTAAATTAGGATACAAAATAATATCGAGAACAAAGAAATAATAATAATAACCTAGGACAATTCACATAAAGCCATTTAGTCCCAAGCTAAGCAGAACTCGTATTATGGATAGTAGACACTGAACGTCAATTATTTTATATTATCATTTAAGTGTAACAAACATACCGGATGATGCTTCATCGGCCTGCTGATCCCCTATATCGTAGACAGGCGTGACGTTGTGACAGAGTGCTATAGCGAGCACGGCCTGCCACACCTGCCGCGGAGACGGCGGCCCCCGCGGGGACTCGCCCCCGCCGGAGGGGCCGGGCCCGGTCACCACTCCGGGCCATCCCGGGGTCGACGGGGACATCGGCAGGGATGACGAATCTTTGGTCACGTATTGAGTTAGTAGCGATTCCACCTGTGTGATGTGAAGTAGAAAAAATTATACATGATTATGCCACGATAAAATTCGACTTCAATCATGTAATATTAACCCTAGGACGATTCACACAGCGCCTACCTAGTATCCATAATAAAAGTTTGCTTAGATTGGGACTACATGTCCAGGGTAGTGATAAGAAAACGTTGTTTAAATTTGAACGTGTAAGTCTGTTTGCTATCTTTTCACAAGTACATGATTGAAATGATCGTAATATATGATCTGTGTAAGTTGTCCTGGGTTATTGCTATTATTAGATCCAGTTCGCATAGACTATATTGTACCCCTCCGATCGATTCCCCGCCAATTCAAACAGGCATCGAAATTACGACGGCCTGGGAGCGTATTATGTATATGTATGTAACTCTTTAAAATCCAGTCAGTTCAGTTTAAGCCGTAAACTGCCTGGGAATAAGAGTTCATAATACGCCCGCTGGCCCGAGGTTCGAATCGCTAGCGGTGCCCTCAGACTAAAGTCGTATTCGACAGGCGGGAGTTGGCCTTGACTCGCTTCATAAGCCCTTCCGCGAGTTTGGAGTGCCATCTGCACTAGTCCACTATCGCCCCAAAAATTATTAGAGTAGTCCGAAAAAAAAAAGATAATTTGGAACCTCTTCAAACAAGTAATTTCTGTTACGCGAATGAAAACTACTTATAAACTGATTACATACCTCATGAAAATTATTACTATCGAACAGTGCATTTCCCAAATGTAATTTCTGGAAAACCATTTCATTCTTTGTCAGTGTGCCTGTTTTGTCGGCCAGTAAGTATTGTATCCGCCCGAGTTCCTCCGGGATAGTGGTCGATCTCATTACAGTGCCCTCGATTTTCTTATCCCTTTGTATTGTCCATGAGTAAAATGCTTTGCCTACTTCTAGATTCACTCTTAAACTGTCCAAAAATATTGTTTATTAAAACTAAAATAATTAAATTGAAGTCATAAAAATATCTAGTATTTAAAAAAAATTTTCACCTATTCTCACATTGTTTCTAAATTATAATATCAATGTATTATCGGTGCAATAAAGAATATAAGAAAATTAAAATTTGAACTCTATCAAACTGCCAAACTATCTACTATTTCTAGTTCATAAACGGAGAAGATACGATATCCTTCCAAAAATATTACTCACTTAAATATATTGTAAAAATAAAAAAAACTTATAGAAAAGAGATTTTCTTAGTATATCAACTCATACAGAGTCATTAAATGAAGATTAAAATGGGAAATATGATACTATTATACGTATAAAAAGAATCATCGAAATCCATTTAGTTTTAGCCAAAATTAATAAACAAAATAACATGCAGAATTAAGAATTTACTCTGTTATAAAGTTCATTAAGAATTATGTGAAAGTTAATAAAAAAACATAAAAAATACCCACCTAATCGGTATAATGTATGAGAAGAGTAGTACAAATCTGAAGAGGAACCCATACCAGGGTCCATTAAAGCCTTTCAGCACAATCAGCAGGAAGGACGTGAATATAGTAGCTACAAATAGAACCTTCGTCAGGTTGTTGACCTGTAGGTCTAGTCGACCGACTTTTGAGCGAGGTGTTGCATTGTTCATTACACTACGTGTTTCGCTACCTGAAATCAAGTATTTATTAACTTAAACACACTTTGTACAAAGTCGTTTTGTTTGGTCTAATGACTTAGTAGACCGCCATGCATTCAGATGAGCGGGTACGAGTTTCTTACTATAATATACACAATACTCCTCAACCATCATACTCCAATATAAACATTTGTATTAAGGTACATAATCTGGATGTTTTCTATGCAAATTATAAATGTATTTACAAAGCATTCAAGTATTTCTATTAGGCGTTTAGTATCCATTAGTACAAGTTCCACTTAGTTCAGGAGAAGATAGCGCTGCACGCAGCAGCATTTCGTAATTTTTCCAAGCGAAATTATTATCAACGTAAGCTAGGTATAATAATTACTATAAGAAAAATGGGGACCTATACCCTTAGGACAAGTAAAAATATTCTAATAGGGATCCATATTTGTATACAACCTTGGACTATGTTAATTTGGAACAGACAAGGCAACTCTGACTGTATATTGGGGAAAAGAGGTTTATCAGTAATGTGAACTTTTAACCACATTACCTCACCTGTCCTCATACTCATACTATCATCCTCTACTGGTATACTCCAGGGAAAACCATTAGCGCAGACGAGGGCAACATTTCATTATCATTCTTTAAAAAATACTGACCTGTATATATAACTAATCCTGTTGCCTGCCCCGATGCAACCACGCACCCGCTCCATAGAGTATTTTCTATATCAAGCGAGTCACTCTCCTCTTCGTCAAGACGTGTACACGTCCCTATAAATGAGTGTATGTCTTTCTCAGGCTTTTCAATGAAGATCTGGGCGTTTATATCAAGTAAATGCGCGTCGGTGGGAAGTTTTTGCGTCGAAGGCAGTGGTATTCTGTAAATTAATATTATATAAACATTTAAGAATTTGCTAAGCGGATTTTGGAAACCAACTTGGGTTTAAAACAATACAGTAATTAACCGTATCAAAATCGGTAAGAACGTTTCTGAAATTACACGTATTTGTGCGTCATGCACAATCAGACAAACATTCTAATATTCATTGTTATGGGTTCTACAACGTTGTTGAATAATCAATATATAGTTTTTCCCATATATCTACCAACTATCCGTAATTGCATTTTTATTAGATATATTTCGCATTTGATTTAAAAGACCAATTTATAAAATCGTATGTATTGTTTATATCATTACCGAGATTATTAAACCAATTTTGTGTGGCCATGAAATCCATCAAATTTACCACAGGCGGGCGTTATCGTAAACCTTGATAAGTACCAGTATAAATAGACCTCTCTATAATTAAACAAAGCCTTCTAAATAGCACTAATTAACAAGAAATCAATGCATGAACGTTTACAGTAAGGATCACGTCATTAGTAAACGTTTGTTATTCATTACTGATTATGTAATTTATATTTGTTTGCGAAAGGATGGGGAAACAATGCGACTGTGGAAGTATGTAGGAACCAGGGGTCAACAGATCTGTTATAATCGATTGATCAAGTATTATCCAATGGAGGAGTCAAGCCTACTTAAATGGCATAGTTGTATGAGATATATTGTGAAAGTGGATTATAACACTTTTAAAAGTATATAAACATCTCGGTTCTTACGTTTTGCTCTCAATCCATCCCCTTCTCTTCAAGTAGAGAGGAAGATAAGAGACTTTAGATTTATTACTTATTGATTTTATTTGATATTGTTTTATTTACTGGAAATGAATTATTGTAATTAATTCACTATGTATCACAAATAAGTTTAGTTTTCTCCTTTAGTTTCCAGTTAAATAAGTTTTTATTGAGTAAAAAAATACTTATTTGTTTGTGGTTCTGTCGAGAGGGGAACCTGATGAAAGCTACAATCGAAAAAGGGGGGTTTAAAAAATTGTATATGTGGCTTATGAAACTGCATCTTTTAAAACAAAAGCAATTTGTTTATCGTCTTGAGCCATGGACATAAACAATCAAGCAAGAAGAGAATATTATTGATACTATTTACCTTAATTTCCAATCAATTTCACCATCTAATTGATCTGTTCTAATGAACACAGTCCCCATAGTCTCATTCGTCCTCAACAGTATCATGTCTGCTGGCACCCTTTGACCTTTATGCAGCATTACTATATCACCAACCCTGAGGGCCGAAGCTGGTACATGCTCCATAGCAAACGGACGGTACCCATCAATGGAGGAATCTAGAACAATGCGGTCGTAACGTTGCCGATTCACTTCTCTGTCACGTCTGAAATCATTATATTATGAGAACAGGTGAAACTGATCAATAATATATTGACCAACAATAAATGATAACAACATTGATAATTATTATAATAAATAAATAACCCTGGACAATTAACATAGCGACATCTAGTCCAACGGCAAGCAGAGCTTGTGTTATGGGTACTAGAGAACTGATATAAATGCTTAGATTATGTTTATAAATACATGCAATTATGTATGTCAATATATATTTATCATACTCATGAATACAATTGTTTGCACCATGCAATTGAACCTGCGACCGTCGGAATTAAAGTGGTGTATTAAACTGCATGACTACTGAGGCAGTCAAACAATAATGGTTTTAATAACATTCTAGACAACTGACGACATGATTTTTTCTAACTGTTTTAATGATTTATGAATTCAATTCCAAACAATATCAAAGTCTGCATTACCCTACATATATTATTTGTGTATGGTTATACATTTTGCAAGCTAGTATACTTTATGGTATTATAAAACATATTATGTAGATTGTTTTATACTGAGTGATAACTAAATATATTGCATATCCCTACAAGAGTGTATTCAATTATAAACATATATATACCTATTTCTTTATATACACATAATGAATTGATATTTCCCCTTGTGATTTCATATTATTTAGGTCTAATTAAAGCAATTTCTCAATAACAGTGTTATTATTTACTTAGGATCATGGACAATTGTTATATTCATACAAATTTATTTATTTACATGTAAAGGTTTCTGCTTTATTACTTATAGGTGAACAAAGTATGCAAAGTAACATTTAACAGTTGTACAGAAAAATCTTAACTTAACTGCTTAACTTAATTACTCTGCTTATTATGTACCACTGTGCATATTTATGTGCATTTCAATGAAATAGAAATGCAATCTTTTTAAATAGAAACATAAATATTTTAGGACATAAAACATGATTACACTACATGATACAGAATATTATGCTCACCTATATCTTCTAAAATCATCTACCGCCTCTCTGAACAGTGTGACCGCAAGTACAAAACTTAATGGTCCCCAGTATGTGTATAAATAGCCAATACGGATGCTGGGTATGAACTGGCTACATGCCATCACTAGAAAGTACATGTTCAAGAAGAATCTGAACTGTTCAAATAGAACCAGCGGGAGGAATGTGATGATGTTGTATTTCTGGAATTAAATGTTTGATGTAAAATGTCTGAATAGTTTATAGTTATTGAAATGAAAACATGTTCCTTATATGTATGAAAAAGATAAAACATGTCATTACAATACAAAGAGATACATTGTTAATGCTATGTAGGATATATATGTAGGATATATATGTAGGATATATGTAATAATGGGTAGTCTTATCATGAAATAGCATTCTTCATGATTCATATTTATATTAATTCAATATCTATTAATACATTTGTTATGTTGCTTCGTAATAAAAAAAAAGCATTTACATTTAAGCTACAATTTTTTTTACTTTATAAAAAGAGGAGCCTAATTAAATTAGATTTTTTATCTGTTATGTATATTGATTAAAAGTGAACATATTATGTTATTTATATTTATCTTTAATAGTATTATATTCATTCTTATATGACTTTTTTAGGCTATACTCCTTATAACATTAGCTGTATGAAAGTGAAACTCCTATCAAAATTGTACCACCCATTTCAGAGATTTTAGAGAAGAAACAGACATAAGCAAAAACTTTAAAAATATATTATTTCTTGTAATTATGGTATATATTTTGGCATACATTTAGTCACAAGATTATAAGCAGACACCACTGTTACATTTATTTGTATAGATAATTTAAAGCAATAAAATTTTACAATTATCAGTATTAATATTAACAACTTTGTCAGCTGCTTTTATATGGAATAAAAAAATAAATCAGCATGCCTTATGTTGTGTTATAATATAATGTTTTAATTATATTTATTTTTATGTATTAAGCAGGTATTTTAATATAAGAGCCCTTCTCCAACATGCAAGAATATAGCAGGGGGAAAAGTCCCTGACGGATCCAAGTGCAACAGGATAAACATAACCTAAGTGCAATAATTAAGATAAGATACGATATCATATGAATAGTTTTATGGAAATAAACATTATCAGTTATCAAAATAGGTCAATACTCACTTGATTGCAAACGTAATTGGGCGGAAATTGCTCATCAGGCAATTGTCCTACATAAATAACTCTGGAACTTAATTCCTTCTTGCGAAATTTTGAAAATTTCAATCTGAAAAATAATATTTACAGTAACATATTCATACATACATCAATATTGACAGAACAAAGACTGTATTGTACATCAACAAAATAAGTATGTTACCTTGACCATAATGATTTTTTATGTCTTGTTAACAATGGTGTCGTTTCCATTTTGGTGCAATATAAAATCTAATACAGATGCTGCATTTGGAATAACTTATAATCAATGCATCACAAGCTTTCTATTCACATTCACTTAATGAAAACAACTAAAGTAGGTAATCGAAAGTTTATAAACAAACCAACCAAAAAAAATGAGCTTTATCTGTTCTGTTGTTCATTTATGACTGCCTGACTGACAGGACTGATTGCGAGAGTTGACGTTTATTTGTTGACTGCCTCCACAGAAAATATATTTTAATGTGTAACTGGAAGGTAAACTTGTTTTAAATAACTTTATTGACTATGTGTACACTTATTAAAAAAAAATGTTTATTTTGTAATGGCAAGTATTTTAGTAGTAGTAGAAAATGTTTTATATTTCCTAGCAACATAGTTTAGGTAAATAAATATGGCGTTCATATGTTGCTGGGTGTGTGAAATTCAATTTACTATTTATTTTACCCGAAAAAACTATTGAACTGAGGTGATTATATAATTGTAATATTGTGGTAGTGATAATTAAGTGCTGGTCATTGTTCAAACTGGTAATAAATTATATGACCAATTAGATCAATGACTACCCCTATTGACAAGACTGGAGTCGGGACTCTGATGCGTCGTTGGTTTTCTCTTCAGTGCTTCTTAAAAAGTAAGATCAATTGAAACTTATGTTTATTCGCACGTGAGTCGAAATTATGGTTTTCATAAATTAATAAGCGGTTGTCAAAGCGTAAAGTTGTAGTCATAATTAAATTTGCAAGGGTGTTTGCATGATGCGCGCCGGCGATGGCAGTGCGTCGTCTGTTGTCTCTCTCGGGGTGGCCGGGCACACCTACGGTGACCTATTTTCTGGTTATTGCATCGAAGCTAACTATTTATGTCTAGGGGTGTAAACTGGGGCGCCGACGGTCTTGAAGCCTGCATACTATCAGTTAATTCGGCGGCAATTATTCGTGAATTTTCAGTGAAAATGTGTTCTGTGCTTGTTTATCTTGTTATGGTTCAAGGGTGATTGCCCTATTGATACAAGAATGTTACACTCAGGTAGTTTTTAAAGTCAAATATGTCTGATATATGGGTGATTAGAGAGAAATAATTATAATTACTTATTAATGTATAATTAATTAAAACATATATAAACAGCAACTAAATTGTTTCTAAAGCCAATAATAGATGAAAAATGTTTATTGAGCATTTTAGTACATAAAGAAAATACTTTATTAATAGACATAATTATAATGGTTCATCCTAACAATTATAGGGCTAGTATAATTGGTATATGTGTATAATTCTACTGGATAATTATATGCATAAATATTTTTACATGCTAATATAAAAAAAAATTGTATTCTTTACATGGAAAATTAACTGTTGTGAGTTTCACATGATGAAATGAATCATGTTGGATGATTCATGTGGAGTAACTATTTTACTTCCCAGGTAGTTAGAATATATATAATATATCACATTTGATTGAATAATTTGACTATTTGTGTGATATAACATAATGCTTATACAGTGTATAAATTTTTTATCTGTGTGAAACAAATACACAGTAATGTATTAGTATTTAGGTGATAGACAGTATTTTTTTGAGTTTTAAGTCCATAAAAAAGTATCAATTATAAATTTTGAAATCAGAATACTGTAGAATATTCTAGAATTAGAGAATAATTGAACTGTGCTAACAGCATATCAGTGAATGATGATGAGTTGAGGTCAGCTAGCCCATTGTGAAATTCAACAGGATTTGACAACAACGGTTTCCAGGTGGAGGGTAATCTGACCAATTGCTAGCAATGGGAAAAATAGCTCCTAGTATTTATGATAACCTCCCTCAACCACTATGTTACTCAGTGTGAGAAGTCAAAGTCAAATTAGTTTTTTTAATTTGTAAGAACATTTTCAATCATGCAAACATATTTTTATTACTAAGTATTTAGTTCTACTATATTAAGAAAAAATTACAGAATACTCCACTGTACATTTCTTTCATATTACTTCATATTATATTCAATATGTGGAAAATCTGATAATAGTAAATTTGACACTACCTTTACTCTTTGAAGATGTAAATAATAAGTTTTAATGCTGTTTGAATTATGAACAAACAAACATAATCTTAATGTTGTATATGTTATTGTTAATTGTTGTGGGATAATAATATGATATTGTCAGCTGAGATGATGTAGATTACAGATGATAATGAATTTGAAATATTACCTTGCTAGGTAACTGTGTTCCATATTAATAATGTTATTTTTTTCAGGTACTGAGATATAGGAGAGGAGTTACTGATCAATGTGTAGTAGAAATAGAACAATGGTGTTGAGCCCATTGGCAGAGGGTTCCATGTTGAAAGCGGCCAATAAAACCACAGTATGATGGACTCAGAATTGCCACCCGGTAGCTGTAATTCCACCGGACACCTGTCCACAATCGGATACCACACCCTGCCTGGTGAGTGAAAAATCCATACTACTAATGTATTGATGTAAATTATTTGATTACCTGATTGGTTTAGCAGTGTCTCTTGCCATGGTAGTGGGTTTTATGCCCACAAATACATTTGTTATTATTTATTTTTTTATTTAATATAATTCTTATTTTGGCAATGGCTGAAAGTTTGATGACTTCAGAATGCAATTATTTGTTTTAATCACATTATTATACCAATGTGATTGTGGTATATTCTACATGGTAATGTTAGACAGAAAGGGGTTAATAGTCTTAAATGCATAAACGAAATATCTCCTTTGGAAAGTATGTCAAAGAATCCTGAGATATAAAAACCAGCGCTCCTAAGAATATCCCTCAATTCTTGTCCCTGACGGATCTAGGTAACAAACTTTGAAAAAGGGCGAGTACAATAAATCTATGCAAGTCAGAGTGCTATAGGTCTTAGTACCTTAACACCTGACAATATCCCTAAGCACCCTTATCACCCACATTTAAAAAAATAAAAAAGAGTAAGCTAACTGCTCATCTGATAATAAGTATCTATTGTCTGTACAGGAACAGAACTAAGTATATCACATTAGCGTCTGACGCCCGTTATCATATACATATGTCTTTAGTTAAGATGTTCATAACGTTTAATTTTACATAGGCCGTATGCACCACTCGGCAAGCACTCCGGCGGGGGTGGACTGCGCGGGCGGGGGCTCGCGGACACCTCCCGCGACACCGAAGAAGGGCGGCAAGATGCTCGCCGTCCGAGTGCAGATGTTAGACGACAGTATCTCCATGTTTCAAATACAGGTACGTGGTGTATATTATTTCATCCCCGTGGATATTCATCAAGTGACAGTAGTCTCATGCGTTGCCATTCCGGACTTCTCTTTTTTTAATAGATGATAATGGAATGATGCACACTTCTACGCTGAAATGTTTACGCTGTCTGGGCATCAGTGTGATCAGGATGATAAGATTAACATGAGGATGAACGGTACCCTCATCGTGAAAAATTTACTAGGAATTTATCATGATGGTTTCCAGGGGAAATCGCGTGGAGGTCAACCTGACATGGTACATTGCTAGCAATGTGGTCAACAGTCCACTTCACTGACAATGCCTACTAATGTGTCATACCTTAATACATATAGCTTCGCAGTCATATGTCCTCAATTGGAACACTTCTTCTAAAAGCAAACTGCTTAGTGAACCTGAAACTTAACTGACTGAAATAGGTGAGACAAAGTTACTCACGATTGTAAGTAAAATGGTTTATTACAAGACGTTTTAATGAATAAGCATGCTATTATGTATAAGCGACGGTTGCCCCTTTCCATCAGGCGGTCGTCAGCTTAAAGCTACACTCGGGCTTTCTAAGAACATAAATTTAGCCTGCCCAGCCAGTGCTTATTTATAATAAGCATGTTGTGGTAAAAGGGCTTAAACTCCCCAAGTATACGAGTAAACCGTGTTTTAATTACCGGTGCGTTTTATGTTTGTTATTTATGTAAACGTACTTATAGTACATAGAACCAGAGGAGTTCTAACTACTTGGCAGAATAAATTTTAATGAATATATTTGAGCAGTTATGTGCTTTGTCAACCGACATATAAACTATTGCAGTCTTAAATTAAGTCTTATATTTTCAGTTTCAGTTGATTTAATTAAGGTGTTACTGATGAGAGCTAATTTCGATTTTAGAGCAACTGTTTTGCATATAGAACGCCGATTTGGCGCATGTTATTACGGAAGTCTAAAGGTTTGATCCCCGATTTAAAGACCGCAAAGGTTCTTACTTCGAATCAGAAAATACTGTGTCGCAATTTACATTTCTGTGCACGAGAAAAATAAATATAAATATGTTGCTGTGATTATGTAAGCTTATTTCTACTACTACTACCTATTTCACTGCTAGGGATGCGGGTGTTGCTGACCTAACGATTTACGACTTACTTGGATAATACGGTTACTTGTAACGTACAAACGTACGTGCACTTGTTATACTCCGCTGTAGTGTTCTTATGTATTATATATAATAATAGACAGGTATATTATCTTATAAGCGAAATTCTTTTGTTACGTCATTATACCTGATTTTTAATAAACTATGTTAGAAACATTGGACTATTTTAAAAAATTATATATTTTTTATAATGAATTATAATGGCATGGTGCACTCGCCTGCGCTGTCGGTACGATGAGAATGAAGTCACGTCAGTTTGCTTATCGTGGAGAATACGCCAGGTATTAACTACTATGGTTTTCAGAGGGAACCGCGTGAGGTCGAGCAATAGTAGGTACCAGTCCCTATTAATAACAATTCTCTCTCCCCCCTAAGTTTCTTGATCATTCGTACCGGTTAAAGTACCTACTCGTGTAATTAGCAAATGTCTATATAAATATTTATTAATGTTAATTATAATTAAATAGCTATAAAATAAGTTAAGCTATCACGTATTTTATTTATTGCTAAATGAATAATTGTACGTAATTAATATTTGCATAGTAGATATCCAATCATAATAAATGTTAATCAGAATCAGAAAAAAACTATAAAAAGTAATAATAATAAGACTATTGCACTCTGCTCACTTTGTCTAGTAATGACGTATCGGATGTGGCGTGAATATATAAATAGATAAGAAGGAATTTCTAACTACAATTAGTCAATCAATGTAATTACTTTCATATTGATAAATAAAATGATGAAATAATGAGCACATTCGATATATAATATTATTAATGTAAAATTGTTCGTAAGTTTGTTACCTTTTAAATACGGTTGTTGCATTAGAATAGTTTGAAAGTAAAGAACATACGATATTATATTAAACAACTTTTGTTCTAGAAAAATCCACACGGAATGTAGCTATACTATTGGCAGCCTGTAGTAATAAAAACTTTATCCATTTCACGTTTTTAAATAATACATAGCAGTAGGTTGGATGCAGACCAAACAAAGTTATCATATAATTTTATACTCTAGATATACTTTTATATTTTGCATGTATATGGGATATTAACAACAAAATAGATATTTTTATATAACTGAATTTCATATGAACTGATGGCTCAAATAAGAATAACAATTTTTTTTATGGATGACAATGGAATGAAGCACACGCTTGCGCTAATGATTGACGCTGCGGGATAGGATCCCGCGCTGTTATGTGCATGAAGTAAGTTAGCCCATCTTGTCAAATGGGAATATAAAACGATGGTTTTTTGTGATGACCCCGCGATACTCATGAGTACTCCTCGTGAGTACCCTGCCTTTCAGGACTAAAATGCCATCGTACCCTGTAATTTTACTGCATTTCCCATTCCTGAGTACAGAGGACTAAGCTATTATAAGTCTGTACGAAGTACGCTAGACAGTATGGTTTGAAAGGACGTTAATAGTAACTACAGTGTCGGCCTCGTTATAAACATGTTAGAAACTAATTATAAAATATTGACCGACCCTCGCTCTCTCTTTATTATTATTCGGTTCATTCATCATTCACAATAGCTTGGCAGCACATTACAAGTTCGAGGTCGAGGTGTCGCGAACGTGCCAGTCACTAATTGCCACATTGAACGCTAATTACAAGTTTGTCGGGCGAAACGACATCCCCTACTGCGCCTCGCGCCGCTCCTACATTTCATTAGTTCCCATGTTGACATCTATTGGGTTCTGCTAACGTTTCTAGGCACAACGAAACGATTAAGACCTATTTGGTTCGCAAGGTCGTGGCACTTTATTTTTAACCGACGCGGTCCTCAATTCGACTATTTGTTTTTCATTCGTTCATATATCTTTGACAGTATGTAACCGTATATGATACATGTTTTCTTTTTCATTATGAATTATTCAGTTTTCTTTTGAGACATTGGTCTTTCTTTTTGTATACTGGTTTTTAAAGCCTTGTAATAATAATAATAATAATAATAAAACTCTTTATTGTGCATAAAAGAAACAAATAATTACAAAAAGGAAATAAAAAAAAAAGAAGGATATGCAAACAAAAGGCGGCCTTATCGCTTAAAGCAATCTCTTACAGACAACCTGGGAGATAGAAGCATTGAGTAAGGGGAAGGTAGGTGGCGCACTATAAAAAGTTAGATAATATATGAATACTAAATATACATACATACAAATACCATTAATATACATATATATATACATATAAATAGAATACATATACATAAATAGAATACATATACATAAATAGAATATATAATTAATTACATGTCTAACAGAACAGGACATTACAGAAAGATTTTTAATTGGAGATTTTACTATTTTTTTAATAATGGACTGGGATTGGGCAGATCTGATAGAAAGTGGCAAGGAGTTGATATGGACAGTGAAGGATTGGGAAAAGAAGTTAGTAGAATGAGGAGGGGTTACCAATTTAAATCTATGTAAATTAAATTATGTCAACAAAATCTTTAATTTTATAATGTTTCACGATAAAGATTTTGTGAATGTATTTTTGCCTGTTTGAGTCTCCTTAACCATAAGACTTGGATCATCAAAGTTAACGTCAAGAGCATTTATGTACTACAATTTATAGCCCACAATTAATTTTGTTTTTACTATTTTTTAAGCATACCGTGTAATTGAGGAAAAGGGAAAATCTTTTTATCCGCTTCACATAAATTCTGAATAATATCAACAATATCAGGTTGGAAAAGTATAATATAATTTTGTAACTATACGTTTAGTGCAAATGGGAATGTAATACGGAAATAGTTTGTTATATTTTTTCGAAGATGAAAGTGCCAAATGATTGATGGATAATAAAACTACCGTAACTAACTTATTCGTCATATGCTGAAGTATTAAGGAAACAAAGATAATAAGAAAACGTGATAAGATCTTGTTTTTGTGCTAAGAAGGTGTCTTTGTAAGATGTGTTTTGGTTGAAGGGTGAAATAAGGCAGCTAAATTACTAGGCGCGGAGGCATCATAGTCCTCCGAAATAGGCGACGGTTACCACTTAGCATCAGATGGGCTGTCAGAAATATACGTCAAAAAGTAGAGCAACTTCACTGATCTCAATAGATTTTTAGCCTGATCAAAAACAAAAAAAAAAATCTACTTATTTGTAGGTCTTTGATTTATTTATATCTGTTCCAAACTGTTATGTATGGCACGGAATGTAATGCAACGCGCATAACTTTTAAATATCGCAATAGAGTGAACACAACACTATTATTATGGTTCAATTCGTAAAATGAAAATTTCAAGTTAATATTTTGTCTTCTTCGCAATTTCAATAGTACATTACCGTCAATATATTGAAAGAGTATTTGTATGCAGGAAAGAACATCATACGAGCACTATTTACGTGAAGGGGTCACGCTGAATTGCACTTAGATATAGAATTTTTGTTGGAGACACTTGCCAATTTCAACAGTTCAATAGATGCGGGGTGGATCTTCGCCTCGGAGGATTTGGGAACGATTATTGAAATGTGAGCCTTATTGCTTGTCGGAATTGAAACATATTGACATTTTATGATTGATGCAGTACTCGGTGCTTATTCATGATTGAATACAAGCGTTTTCCCCTTCGATTCCGTCGGTTAGTTTTACACGAGAGGCAGTTTGTGCGCAGATGGATACAAATATTTATATACGGACGCTATTTATCTCTAAATAGTAGTTGTTTTCGTCCGCCTCCGTTAGTCCATTGTTATACGCTTGTTTTTTCTAAACCACGCATCGGATTTTCATTTGCTATTCTACTTCTTTTCATCTCCAATTCCCTATCTAATGTCGATGATAGTCACATACTATTAGGTGTGCCGTAAGCTTA